GTAGGGAAGGCGGGGAACCAGGTGGGAAGCGTTTGGGGAAACCGCTTGGGGGAAGTGTACGCTCATGTGGGTACCCACGTCAGGGCTCCGTGGAGCTGGAGATGCGTGTACTCTGAGGACCTGTGAAAATGGGAGCAGAGGTGTGTGGAGTGGTGTGGGGCCGCGTGGGAATTGCGTGAGGGAATGCTGAGGAGCCATGTGGCTGCTCGGGGAGCAGTGGTGAGCTGTGAGAAACTGCGCGGAGCCAGGTAGGCGGCTGCTGGGAAAGGCATGGGGAACCACATGAACGCTGCGTCAGGGATTTGGGGGATCTGTGGAAATGTGGAGGAAACTGGGGGGAAGTGTGCGGGAACACGGAGGAACTTGCCAGGGCCTGAGAGGAGCCGCGTGAGCCCCCGTCTGAGGTATTGTGAGAGGACCCACTTGAGAAACTGTGTGCAGAACTGTGCGAAACTATGAAAGTGGGTGAAACGGGACTGTGTGGACCTGTGTGGAATGCTGTGGAGAGCTGTGTGAAAAACAGAAGCACTGTGGGGCATGGGGAGGCCTAAGGGGAAACGTGGCAGCCTGTGTGCAGAGCCGTGTGGGAAACTGAAGAACTGGGAGGCAGTGCATGTGGCCACGTGAGGAGCCACAGAACCGTGTGAGGAAGTGTGTGAGCCGGTGTGGGGAAGTGCAGGAACTGTGAGGAACTCTGTGGGAACTGTGAGGAACTGTGAGGAACTGTGTGGAACTGTAAGGAACTAAGTGTGAAACTGTGAGGAACTGTGAGGAACTGTGTGGAACTGTGAGGAACTATGAGGAACTGCATGAAACTGTGAGGAACGGAGTGTGGGACTGTGTGGAACTGTGAGGAACCATGTGGAACTGTGAGGAACTGTGAGGAATTGAGTGTGGAACTGTGTGGAACTGTGAGGAACTGAGTGTGGAACTGTGAGGAACTGTGTGGAACTGTGTGGAACTGTGAGGAACTGAATGTGGAACTGTGTGGAACTGTGAGGAACTGAGTGTGGAACTGTGTGGAACTGTGAGCAACTGTGAAGAACTGACTGTGGAACTATGAGGAACTGTGAGGAACTGAATGTGGAACTATGTGGAACTATGAGGGACTAAGTGTGGAACTGAAGAACTGAGTGTGGAACTGCGAGGAACTGAGTGTGGAACTGTGTAGAACTCAGTGTGGAACTGTGAGGGACTGAGTGTGGAACTGTGAGGGACTGAGTGTGGAACTAAGTGTGGAACTGTGAGGAACTGAGTGTGGAACTGTGAGGAACTGAGCGTAGAACTGTGAGGAACTGAGTGTGGAACTGTGAGGAACTGACTGTGGAATTGTGAGGAACTGAGTGTGGAACTGTGAGGAACTGAGTGTGGTACTGAGTGCAGAACTGTGAGGAACTGAGTGTGGAACTGTGAGGAACTGAGTGTGGAACTGTGAGGAACTGAGTGTGGAACTGTGAGGAACTGTGAAGAACTGAGTATGGAACTGTGAGGAACTGAGTGTGGAACGGTGTGGAACTGTGAGGAACTGAATGTGGAACTGTGAGCAACTTAGGAACTGACTGTGGGACTGTGTGGAACGGAGTGTGGGACTGTGTGGAACGGAGTGTGGAACTGTGTGGAACTATGAGGAACTGAGTGTGGAACTGTGTGGAACTGTGAGAAACTGTGAGGGACTAAGTGTGGAACTGTGAGGAACTGAGTGTGGAACTGTGAGGAACTGAGGGAACTGTGAGGAACTGAGTGTGGAACTGTGTGGAACTCAGCGTGGAACTGTGAGGAACTGAGTGTGGTACTGAGTGCAGAACTGTGAGGAACTGAGTGTGGTACTGAGTGCAGAACTGTGAGGAACTGAGTGTGGAACTCAGTATGGAACTGTGTGGGACTGTGAGAAACTGTGAGGGACTAAGTGTGGAACTGTGAAGAACTGTGTGGAACTGTGAGGAACTGGGTGGAAACAGTGAAGTGCTGTGGGGGAACCGTGAGGAGCCGTGTGGAATGGCATGTGTGGGAACGGGGTGAACAGTGAGAATGGCCTGAGGAACTGTGTGGAAAGTGTGCGTGGAGTCGCATTAGGGATGGCGTGAAGGGTTGTGTGAGGAACCGTGTGAGGAACTGTATGAGGAATGGCGGGGGGAGCTGTGTGAGAAGTGGTAGGGAACGGTGAGGAACCGTGTGTGGAACTGTGTGCAGAATTGTGAGGAAAGCCGTGGAGACCTGTGCGAGGGGTTGTCCGGGAGTGTGAGGAGCTGGATGGGAAACTAGGGACCTGCTGGGCATTGCGTGGCGCTGTGTGACCCGGAAGGAAGTGTGTGGAATGGGGTGGGGCGCTGTGTGGGGACTGGGGCAGAGCTGAAGGGGTTATCGGGGAGCTGCGTGGATGCTGTGAGGCCCGTGGGACACTGAGAAGCCTGTCTCTGTGTGTGGAACGCTGTGCGGGAGCTGCGAGCCCCTGTGGGGAACTCGGAGAAACGGAGGGTTGTGTGAGGCGTCCTGTGGGGAGCCGTGGTATGCAATGTTTGAGGAACGTGAGAAACTGTCTGGGGAACTGTGAGGAACTGTGAGATCAAGAGTGTCAGGGACGGGGAGGATTTGCGCGTGGAGAATGGTGAAGAACGCGTGTGTAACGAGGCCCTGCGTGGAGATCTAGGTGAGGATCGGGTGGAACTGTGCAAAGAACTCCACAGAGAACTGTGACAGAATTGCGTGTGGAACTTGTGGGAACACATGATGAACCGTGTGACCGGCAGCCATCACATGGGTGGAGTCCGCGTTCGAGTGACTGCCGTTTTCCATAATGGAGGAATAAAGGGGGAAGCAAGAGGAGCTGCGTGAAGAACCGTTTGGAGAAACGGGAGGAGCTGCGTGGGGAGGCGGGAGGAACTGAGGAACTGTGTGGCGAGCTGCAAGCAGCCGCGTGGGAACCGCGCGGGGAATGGCGGCAGCTCCTTGAGGGACTGAGTGCTTGAGCGTGCGGGACTGAGATGTGGAACCACCGCGTGGGAAGTGCGTGACTGGCTGTGTGAGGACTGGGAGGAAAAGTGCGAGGGACCCTGCGAGGGACAGTGACAGAGACTTTTGAATTAGCCGAGTGAGAGAGTTTTCGAGGAACTGGTTGAGGAACAGGGCCCGGAGCAGGGAGGCGAGGCCGGCAGGAGCCCGGCGGATCTGAGGATGGGAGGTCCGTTCCCGCTTGTCAGGAGCTGCCTGGCCCAGCTTCAGTGGGCAGCAGCGGGTGGGTTTTCAGCAGGGCTCACAGCGTCTGCTTTAGCCAAGGATGGGTCCTCAGGCCATGCGCGCTGCCTGAAGGATAGGTCGGGAGCAGGGTGGCCTGGTGCGGCAGTCAGGATGGAAGGTCAGCGTTCCAGGCTTGACATGGTGGAGGCTGGGGGACCGAGAAGGGAGAACAGGGTGGTCCTGGGAGATGGCGGAGCACGACTGGACAGAGAAGTGGTGAGGGAGCAGGAAACCCAGGGGGCTGCTGGGCTCCTTGCTGAAATGGCTGAATGACTGGAGGACATTTATGTGGAAGCAAGGAATATGACACATGGCAGAGAATTCACCCTCAGGAATTAAATAATCAGAAACCAAACTAGAGGCCGGGCGCGGTGGCTCACGCCTGTAATCCCAGCACTTTGGAAACCCAAGGCGGGCGGATCATGAGGTCAAGAGATCGAGACTGCCCTGGCCAACATGGTGAAATCCTGTCTCTACTAAAAAAAAAAATACAAAAATTAGCCGGGCATGGTGGCGTGCGCCTGTAATCCTAGCTACTCAGGAGGTTCAGGCAGGAGAATTGCTTGAACCCAGGAGGTGGAGGTTGCAGTGAGCTGAGATTGTGCCACTGTACTCCAGCCTGGCGACAGAGGGAGACTCCATCTCAAAACAAAAACAAAAACAAAAGAAAACTAGAAATAGAGTAGAGTTAGTCCCTACCAAGTTTCCAAAGAAAAAAGAAAGCAGCTGGTTGTGCTGCTGAGCTGCAAGATGGGCACCCTGAAACCCTGCTCGTGGAGAAGCCAGTGCAGCATTCGGGACCCTCTTTGACAGGGAGTCTCAAGAGCTTTCAAACTTTATGTGCCCTGTGGAGCTTCTCCTGGGGTTGTCTTCAAGAACAATGATGTCTGTGTGTGCACCCAGCCCTTGAGGTGGCATCTATGTGCATGTCCTGGGGTGCAGGCTCCAGGGCCAGAGGCCTTGTCTGCTGGCCCAGCAGGCGCTCTGCAAATGCTTCGTAAGCCAATGCATACATGAACCAGTAGACATTGGAAGTCACTGAAACCCACAATTAGTGGGATCATTAAGTCAGTCAGAGTGTCCATCAGAAGCAATTCCTGGCAGCCATTATGTGGATGGAGTCCATATTTTAAAGAGCCAAAGAAGTAGCAAGAGCATGGAGGATGCTTCATTCTGAGGGGAGGGATGGGAGAACAGGCTGTTAGAGGAAGGCCTGTGAGCTGGCTTCTGCAGGACCATAGGGAGTTTGATGGAGGAGAGGGCAGGTGAACTCTATGTGAAGGGGAGATTTAAGCTGGCAGGGAGGTAAGTGTGGCAGAGGCCACAGAGACCTGGAGGGCCACATTTAGCTGTGGGGCCTTTTCCCTTGGGTCAGAAAGAGTCGCTGATGTTGTTCGAGGAGGGGCCATGGGCTCAGATGGATCCTTCAGACAGAGTAAAGGGAGGACACACTTGCTGGTGACCTCAGCACTCCTGGCTGGTGTCCAGCTGGGTGGCCCAGGGGCAGCAGGGATGGACGAGGGAGGAACCTGAAGGACGTGCTAGCAAATCCCTGACTGTGGCCTAGAGGAGGCCTCTGGGGTGGTGCCCTGGGGTCTGGGCAGGGAGAGGCCTGAGCAGTCTGAGAATGTGTCCAGCAGAGCGGGTCCCGCCCCCTGCCCAGCCTCCAGCTTTGAGGACCCACTTGGCAGGGCCTGCACTGGCCCCTCCCTTTCACTTCCTCTCTAGTGGGCTCGGACTTGACCTTGAATGTTCCTCCCCCACAGAACAAGAAAAAGAAGAAGACAGATTTCATTCCGTACCGAGATTCCGTGTTGACCTGGCTCCTCCGGGAAAACCTGGGTGAGAACTTGTGGGTCTGCCTGTCCCCAGGGCTCTGATCCCACCCTGGGGTGTGCCCTTCTTCCCCACTGAGGGGGTGCCCAGTTGCCAGGAGGCCTCTCACCCTTTCTTGGCTGAGACTGGGAGGTGAACCTGGAGGGTCCAGTCAGTTCATGGCCCTTCTGGAGGGCCTGGGGCAATGGCCAGCAGTGGGTTAATGAAGCAAGTGTGGGAACCAGGATGGCCCAGGTGGCGGCACAGCACACACCTGCCTATGTCAGTGGTCTGGGTCAGGTGGGCTGTGATACCCAGGCCAAGTATTCACCCTTCTCTGGGCCTTGGTTTCCCCATCTGTCACAGGGGATCTCTGCTTGCTGGGTTTTGAGGGGCTGCCATAAACCTCCTCCTCCCCATTTGAGTTCTGAGCAGTGAGAATTAGATGGGGAGGTGGGAATTGAAATGCACCCGACGCTGATCCCGTCCATCCCAGAATAACCTCAGAGTCCTCCCCAACTGCATTTACAGCTGATGCCCAGGGAGGCAAACTGAGTCTTGTACTGACCTAGTGACCGTAGATGACTGGGGGTCCCTGGCCTCCCTGAGCTGCATGGCTGAGGTGTGCAGAGCCCTGGCTGACCACCTCTGCACCCCACAACTAGCCATGCTGCTCCCTAGCTCAGACCAGTAATGCAGATCGCAGCAGGCCTACGGATGGATGGGCCCCACTGAGAGAGGAGGAGAGTGTGTTCCTTCACCTGAGATGTGGGCTGGGAAGGAGCCCCCTGCTCCAGGCACACCCAGGTTCATCCCCAGGGCGGGGGCAGGGGAGTCCTCCCACGGAACCTTTCCTAGGGCCCGTGCGTCATGTGCCCAGCCCTTCACACTGTCTCTTCAGTACCTATAGGGACTCATCAGGGACCCATGCCCTGGGGACACGGCCCTAAGGATACACAGTTTCCTGGGGTCAAGCAGGCAAGATCATCTGTCTAGACTTGAAGTACCACCAGGCAGCAGTCCTGAGGGCTGGGGTGGAGTCAGTGGTGATCTTTTCTGACTGCTGAGGTCACCTAGACAGGATTCCCTGAAGAGAAAGAACACAGTCTGTTCCTCAGGCCACGCATTACCTGATGCTGGGATCCTACTAACCTGGGCCAGGAATCTGATGTTGAATACTGAGGAATGTGTTTCAAATGAAAATGATAGAAGTGCTTGAAAAAATTATTGAACATAAGTGGTATTTATTTTGGAGTAAATACTTTAACACCCTCCACAACTTTTCCTCTCTGCTTTGGGGAAAGGAAGGCCTGATTGTTGTAAAATGGCCCCAAATGTGAGAAAAACACAAGTAGAAGAGAAATAATAGCAGTGCCTGGTGCAGAGATGAAGGGGCAGCCAAGGAAGGCCAGGTCCTTGTAGTTGTCTGTGTTCATGGGGATAAGCCTGTGACTCAGTTTACCTCTCTGGGCCTCAGCCTCCCCATCTGTAAATGTGGGGGGATGGGGGGAGCAGTCATAGCACTGGGGCCTAGATCCCCCTCTGGGCACAACCTGGTCTTCTTCCCACAGGCGGTAACTCAAGGACAGCTATGGTGGCAGCCCTGAGTCCTGCAGACATCAACTACGACGAGACCCTCAGCACGCTGAGGTGAGTTCTCCAGGGAGACACTCTGCTCCCTGGGACTCTCCAGGGGAGCTCTGCTCCCCGCTCCCTGGTCTTGGGGGATGGATCCTCCCATGCTTGAATTAAGAGTGTCAATGAGCAGGGACGACTCTTTGTGAGGGGTATACCCTGGACTCTGTGAGGCTGGAAGGGACTATTCTGGGGCTCCTGGGCCTGCATGGGCCCTGTTCCATTCCCTTCATGAAGCCTTTGAGGGTGTGCTTTGGGGCTGTGGGTAGCCCAGGGCCCTGTGGCACTGGACTGGGAGAGCTGTGCCTGCTAGGCGAAGCAGTTTACACTCACCTGCCGGCCGGGGTAACCACTGGGGATTTTTAGATAGCAAAGGGGGCATAGGTGTGTCTTATGGGCAAGTGAGCACCTGGGGTGGGGAGCCTGGGCTAGCCGTGCTAGAGGCTGCTCGGTTGTTTGGGTCAGTGGTCTCTCCTCTCTCTTGACCGTGCACCACCAGTGCTTAAGAGAAACAAAGGGCGTGTGTCCCAATAGAGGTTCATGTACTAGCTGGAAATGTAGACATATGCATCAGCTGATACACAGTGTGGACAAAAGCCTACGTACATGTAGCTGTTCTCACATTTTTCCGTTGGACTTTGTCCCTCTACCCTGGGACCACTGGGGGAGAGGACACCACGCTGTCCCTTCTCCCCTGGGCCTCCGTTTCCCCAAGCGGGTGAGCTGTAGCTGGGTGACCTCCCCTATAAGTCTCCTCTGGCCTTTGTGGCCCCAAATGCCCTCCCCAGAGACTTGCTATGGGGGCGATTTCTCACTCTGTGCCAGGCCATGCTGGCTCAGGTCCACCTCTGGCCTGGCTGCTGAGCCTGAAAGGCTGGGTCGTAGACAGAGCTCTGGGCACCCTTGGGACCTGCCAGGTGTGGACCTGTCCTGAGCACAGCCCACAGACCCCTCTGCCACCCAGGTATGCTGACCGGGCCAAGCAGATCCGCTGCAATGCTGTCATCAATGAGGACCCGAACAACAAGCTGATCCGTGAGCTGAAGGATGAGGTGACCCGGCTGCGGGACCTGCTGTACGCCCAGGGTCTTGGCGACATCACCGACAGTGAGTGCCTGCACCAGCCTGTCCTGGACAGGGTTGTGGGGCCTCAGGCTCAGGGGCCTTGCAGGTCATCACATCGTCTCTCCTGGGGCCACCACTTTGCTGGCCGCAGTCTGGGCTGTGGCAGCTCCACACTGCTCCCAGAGCCCCTCTGGGCCAAATCCCTGTCCCTGCTCCATGTTGCTGGGCGGAACTGCCTCTGGGTGGGAGGCCGGGCGGGGGCCCTGGACAAGGGCAAGTTTCCTGGCCTTGGCCTGGATGGTACCGCATGGTTTGGGTTCAATGCTGATGCAAGTGGGCCACAGACGGCTCCCCTGGAAGCCCCATAGGCAGGCTGTGGGTGCTGGGGTCACAGCGGCCCCCCGTGCTCTGGAGCTGAAGACCTTCACCACCTGCTTGTGGCCACTCACCCACCGCTGGCCACCCTGGCCTGTGAAAGGCGTGCCTGACCCTCTGGAGACAAACCTGTTCTTCTGTTTCTTTGTCTCTCCCCCTCCCCCACGCTTCCCTCCCCCGTAGCCAACACTGTGCCTGGAGGACCCAAATGTGTGTATTCCCTTTGCTGCTCTCTGCATCTCTGCTTCCAGCCCCAGCCAGCATGAGGGCCTAGGGCGGCACGGGCAGGGAGGGGTGAACCCCAGGGCACCTGCTCTGCTTTCTTCTCCTTTTTGGGGGCAGAAAGCACTGCTCTCGCTCAGTCACAGGGCCCTGCTGGTAGATGTGGGACTCTTGTCTGCCTCTGAGCCCACACTCCTGGCTCATTCCTACTCATGGTCTACATGAGAAACCAAGGCAACAGGGGAGTCAGGGTGTGGCTGAGGCCTTCTCAGGCTAAACGTGGCTGAGGTCAGGCCCTGTGACCCCCCCGTGCACCCAGAGGCCTGCGAAGGTCAGGATATCAGCACCAAAGGGCCAGGAGGGCTGGAGGGACTGTCCTGTCCCCAGCTCTTGGCTCAGGCCTCCGTCTGCAATGCCATTTCTCCAGCTGACCTGACCCCCCACGCCCGGGCCCTCTACTCTGGAAATGCCACAAGCTCAGCTTTCACAGTGGATGCTGCCAAATCCCGCCCAGCCTTTGTGCCTCCTGGCCTTGGGCCTGGCTCCATGGGGCTCAATGCCTCCCCGAGCCCGGCTGCAGGGCGCCCTCCACTTCCCCCACACCCCATGTGGTCCCGTGCTTGCTGCTGCTCTGCTGTGTGTTTGCTTCTGCTAGGAGACCCCTGGCACCACCCACTCCAGAGATGTCACAGCCCTACCTCCCGGGCCTTGGGGATACATGAGGCCTAGGCTGGTGGGTGAGCTCCTCGTGGTGGAGGGGAAGGGCCTCCCTCATGAGGGTCCCATGTTCACCTCCTCCAGGATGGTCTCTGGGCCGATTTCCACGTCAGTGGGCTGAACAGTTAGTGCAGCCCGGCCCTACAGCTCAGGGGTGTGTGGTGTCCCAGGCTGACAGTGGGTGCGAGGGGTGGGAGGACAAGCGTGGGGGTCTGTACGGGGCACTGCTGGGTGACTATGCCAAGCCAGTGGACAGGGCGGGAAGATGCAGGGAGGACAGGCTCCCAGCCCTCAGGTGCGGGGGCTGCAGGGCGGCCTGGCAGTGGGACCTGGAGTGCAACTGAGGGAAAGCAAGAAGCCTGGTGCAGGGGGTGCAGGGGAGCTCCAGGGTGCCCAGGGCCATGCCACGCTGCTGCTGGGGAGGGCAGGCCTGGGGAGCAGGCGGGCAAGTGGGCGCCACTGCCAGCCCGGTCCCATCATAGGCAAGGGGTGGCAGGAAGGCCTTGCATGCGCTTGTCCTGGGCCGGGCAGGGCTGCTGTGCCTTGTTGGTGGTTTCTGTTTCTTGCCTTCTCTGGGCCCCACCTCTTACTTTTTCCCATCTTCATCTTTTTTCTCTCCCTCCCTCTGTCTGTCTGCCTGCCCTACCCCTCCTCCCCATAGACGTGTCCGACCTTGAGAACAATAACCTTAACCGTGGCGGGACGGTGAATGAAGCCCCTGACCCTCTCTCCACAGTGACCAATGCCCTGGTGGGTATGAGCCCCTCATCCTCGCTCTCAGCCCTGTCCAGCCGGGCAGCTTCCGTGTCCAGCCTCCACGAGCGCATCTTGTTTGCCCCGGGCAGCGAGGAGGCCATTGAAAGACTGAAGGTGAGGGCACCACTTGGGGCTTCGCTTCGGGGTGTCAGACTCTGGGAGTGGGGAGCTCGGAGGAATTAGAGGCACCTTGCCCTCCTGGGCACAGCCTATCCTCATAGGGCCATTGTGGAGCACCAGCAGGAGCCTCTGGCGTGTGGCCACCCAGGTGCCCTGTGTCCTGGCTCTAGACCACCCATAGCAGTCAAGGCAACCAGTTCACTCAGGGGTCCCCAGGCTGTGGGCTGCACAACACTCAGCTGCTGGACAGGAAATGCCCCTGCAGGACCCTAGACCTGGGTGTCTGGATGGCCTGTGCCCCCACCCATGCCACGCCTGGACCAGGGAAGCTCCAAGAATGAATGTCCAGGACTGAGACTCTTCCTGTCGAGTCTTTAATTGTGTGAGTGGGCGCTTGTTCAAGGACCAGTGAGGTGGATGGCATCTGTGGGTGGAGAGGAGTCTCGCCCCTCCCCACCCCACAGCACCCCCTCCACTGGTGACAGCCCCAGGTCACAGCAGCTTCCTGGCTGGTGTCCTATAGAGTTACACTCCCTGAGGAGGGTGGTGAGCGTGGTGCAGGCTCCTGAGCCCCTTCCAGGCCAACCTGTGTTCACACCTGCACACCTGCCTGGGAATAGTCACCACTTCCAACCACTCCCAGGCACAGTGTGCTCCCTGGTGCCCAGCAAAGGGCCAGGATCATTTTAGGTTTCCAGTCACACGCCCCTCAGTGAATGGCTGTGCAGTGGCAGGTGAGCCACACGCCTGGAGACTGAGGGGCTGAGGGGAAAAGGCAGAGGCCCCATCAAGGCCAGTGTGAGGAAGGGGATGGGGGCGAGGTTGGGCCTGTGACCCTGGAGCAGAGAGCCCTTCTGGGGTGTTGGGGTCCCATTGGGCTGTGGGTGGGAAGAAAAAGGAGAGACCAGGCTGATGCTGGGCAGTGTCCTGAAGAGGGGTGAGTACCTGGGCCTCTCGGCAGCAGCGAGGATGGCTGTGCTTTAGGAGCTGAGGCTCAGCATCTCCCAGGAGCATTTGCTTCTCTTTTCCTTCCAGATTTGTTTTGCATTTTCCCCATTCTCTTGAGCGTGTCTAAGGGAAAGACACACATTCTCTGAGCTTCACCTTGGTTTTCTGGACACCTCCTGTGCCTGGACGGGCCCAGGAACGTGGCTCTTGTGCTTTGATGCCCCTTCTCCTGGCACCCGTGTCTCCATGGTCCTCTCCCTTGGCCCCAGCCCCGGCAGCTCACTGTGCTCTGCCTCAATCCCCAGGAAACAGAGAAGATCATAGCTGAGCTCAACGAGACCTGGGAGGAGAAACTGCGGCGGACAGAAGCCATCCGGATGGAGAGGTGTGCACTGGGGAAACTGAGGCCCAGGGGGAGGGTTGCAGCCAGCAAGCCCGTAGTCTGGGCAGGATGAGCACTGAGCCCTGCCCTCCAGTGCTGGGCACCTGCACCCTGGGGTGGCCACATCCCAGCCCAGGGCAAACCTGTTTCCTCACGCCCAATAACCCCCACCTTGTATACTGCTGGCTGCTGGCCGCCGGGGCCTGAGAGACCTGAGGCCTGATAGACCTGATCCCTGATCATGATGCGGAGGGGCCGGTCCCATCAGCAGATGCCCTAACACAGTGACCTGACCAGATGGGACACACATGGGCACCACCCAGGCCACGGTGGCCACAGGCCCACTGCCCACATTGGTCAGCCAGCGCTGAGGCCAGTGCTGGAAGCCTTGTGGAGCTTGTGCTGACCTCATCTCTGTTCCCCCAGGGAAGCCCTGCTGGCCGAGATGGGTGTGGCCATGAGGGAGGATGGCGGCACCTTGGGCGTATTCTCTCCCAAAAAGGTAGGAGCTATCTCAGTTCTGTGGTACTGCCCTGATCTGACTAGGACCAGGTGAGGGGCTGTCTCAGGTAGAACCAGAGGGGACTTCTGGGAGTAGGGGGCACGGCGGAGCTCTGACCCAGGCACTGGGACTGTGAAGCCCACCCACAGTCACACTTTGCTTTTCGTGGAGAATTCAGTGCCCACATTCTCATGGTGGGGCATCCTGGTGGCTTTGGGACGTCAGATGGGTCTCTTAGTGGCCTGGAGTGTGGACTGGGCTCCCCAATGTCAGGGCAAGGCTGAGAAGCCAACGCCCAGGCTGGAGACTGAGATGTGAGGGGCCTGGACCTGCCCTGGAGCCTGTACTGCTCACACAGCTGGGCACCAGCTGCCTTCTTGGAACTCAGCTGGAGTCAGGTCTGACTGTTCCAGCAGGGACCCCTCTTCTTCCACCAGGCCAAGCCTAAGGAGTCTTTCAGCTGGGGGCCCTCAAATGGCACAGAACCCCTGGGCAGCTGCTTCAGAGTGTATACAACTCTTGTGCCCCCATCCAGCAGCCCAGGTGGGGCATGACACACACACTTGGGAAAAAGTCTTTCTTCTGGTTCTAGTCCCCAAACCCCACACACCCACCCCAAAGATGGCCAGGACATGGGGACAGACACCTGTGTGTCCGTAGCTTGGAAGGGGCTGGGCAGGGCTGTGCTCCAGGCCAGGGGCCCCGCACATGCTGAGGTCCAGAGGCGGGAAGGGCCTGAGAAGAGCTGTAGGGAGATTCCAGTCCTGGGCAGGGCGGGGACAGGCAGTCCCCTAATGGGGCTTCACTACACACTTCTTCCAGACAGGCCTTTGGTTTGGTTTGGAATGGATTGTTCCCCGCACTGTTTCAGGCCCCATCCCCTTCCTGGAGGGGTAGGGTGGAACTCCAGGGGTGCAGCTTTATTGGTGGCCCTAGGTCTGGGCACCGCCCAGAAGTGGGACAACTGGAGACCCCGTTCTTGAGAAGTTCAGTGTTCTTGGGAGTCACGAGATGTTCACAGGCCAGTGGGGTCCCAAGGCTGCAGCCCTTACTCAGCCCCAACGCCGTGGACACAGCCCTCCTGGCTGGACATCTTCCCCACTCGGGGGGCAGGGATGGCTGGGGATGGTCTGTCCCCTTCGTCCAGTGTCAAGGTCTCCACCTCTCTGCGTGGGGCTGCCTCAGGTGGCTCATCAAGAATCCTTTCACAACTGCTTCACTCCCCAGACCCCAGGGCTGAGCCTTCCATGGTCAGTGTCCTGATTCTTCTTGGTTCTTGGCTCCCACTGGCGAGCCCACGGTTTCTGGGCTGTCTGAGCTGGAATGGGGTCCTGGAATCCCATTTTACAGTCCAAAGCTGAGAACCCAGGACCCCATGGGACAAAGCCTGTGGTCTGCACATCTGGGGGCTCACCCCAGCCTCAGAGGGCCCCAGGGGCCTGACATGCTGAGAGCAGGGGCTCTCTGCCTTTCTGGAAGCCCAGCTTGTGCTGCAGTGCTGGGGCTGCTGTGCCAAGCCTGGGTGTACGCGGGTGGTCGGGTCCCACCAGCCTGCTGCTGTTGGTGGGCTGGGCCTACGGCTTGCGCTTTCTGTGTTCCTCATTTTCCTGGCTTGGAGTGACCAGCCTGGTGGGAGTATAGGGGCAGGGGCCCTGGAGGTGGTCTGGTGCCTGGGGAGAGGTCGGAGCAGGGTGCGGCCAGCGTCGGGCTCCTGCCTCCTGCAGGAGAGATGATCCTCCTGTCTCCCTGCAGACGCCACACCTCGTCAACCTGAACGAGGACCCGCTGATGTCCGAGTGCCTCCTCTACTACATCAAGGATGGGATCACCAGGTGAGAGGGGACCTGGCAGCCACTCCAGCCTGGCCAGGCCCTGGGATCTGGCAGAGGAAGGGTGGACTCCCCATTCCTGCTGCTGCAAAGGGGCCACTGAGTTTGGACTTCTCCAGCGACTGCTGATGTCTGCCCTGGCTGTTTCCCAAACAATCCTGACTGGGTGTCCCTGGAGGCCAGTGGGTGGCATCCCGGGTGTGCTGGGTCCCGGCTGCAGTTCTGATGGTGCCCCCACCCTGCAGAGTGGGCAGGGAGGATGGCGAGAGGCGGCAGGACATCGTTCTGAGTGGGCATTTCATCAAGGAGGAGCACTGTGTCTTCCGGAGCGACTCCAGGGGAGGCAGTGAAGGTATGGCCACCCTACCGTCCCCACCCGCACCCACGGCCCTGTGCTGTGATGATCAGGCCTGAAGAGGTCACCCTCTCCCAGCCTCCCCAGCTCTAAGTGGGTGGCGAGTCATACTTCTAGGCAGGATGTGTCTGTGTGTGTGTGTGTGTGTATGTGTGTGTGGGAGAGAGAGATTTGGAGAGACACATTTGGGGCCAGCCTTGAAGACAACTTCCATTAGGTTGGTGCTTGAGAAAATGCCTGGTGCCTTCTGTGGCCAGAGGTGGCTACTGCCTTAGGGAGCTGAGCCTCCTTGAGGGCTGGAAGTGGGGGCACAGGTGGGCTGCTGGCCGGGAAGTGTGTTGGGGCCCAGGGTGGAGGATGTTCATGGCGGGAGGACAGTGAGCCATGAGGAGTGAGCCCAGATCTAGGGTGGAAAACTATTTCCAGACCTTGATTTCCTGTTGGCTGTGGGCGGCCATCTGTCCGTTTCCCCTGCCTGCCCAGTGATCTCCCTCCCGGAGATGACGTGGGGCTGTCCTCATTGCCTGGTGCTGCCCAACTCGGGGATGGGCCTGTGGTGTCGGTGTGCCGTCACATGGCCCACAGCCTGGGCTAAGGGCATCTCCTGGCAGCATCCAGCCAGCCTCTGGCCTGCAGACCTGTGACTGACATCCACTGTCCAACTTGACCATCTCAGGATGATGGCTTTAAGTGGTGTTGGGACGGTTGGCTCTCTTGGAATTCTCTGACTGCAAGGTCCTGCCTGCCGTCTCCTGTAGGGTGGCCCAGGCCCCATTAGCTGGTGTTTTTATCCTTGTCTACCTGGAGAGCTGGACAGGGCCCTGGGTGATCAGGCCCAGCACAGCCTCTCAGCTTCAACGTAGGCACATGCATCCTCCTCCTGGGGGTCACTTTCTTCCTCTGTTGGGTGGGGTGAGACCCCTAGGCTCCTCTGAGGCCCAAATGAGTGTTGCCAATGGTCAGGGTCTGTGTAGCAGGGAGAAGAGAGGCCTGGAGGAGGCCATGCCCGGGGTCCAGGTAAGCCGAGCTGCTGTAGGTGACAGCCATTTATACTCCTCTCCTCTGCCCCTCCCACCTTTCCTGTAGCTGTGGTGACCTTGGAGCCCTGTGAGGGGGCAGACACCTACGTCAACGGCAAGAAAGTCACAGAGCCCAGCATCCTGCGGTCAGGTACGGCTGGGGACTCCAGGGGCCGGTCAGGTAGGCAGAGGCATGAGATGAGACCTCTGTTCCCATGTCCAAGCCACCACCTCCTGTGCACTGTGCAGGACGGCAGCTCTTAAGGGCTGCGGGGCAGGTAGGGGAGGGGGCTGTGGGTACCTGACCAGCTCACGTGCCTCCCCAGTCCCCCAGCTCTAGGAACACAGCACTACAGGCCCCATTCACACAACACAAGGACCCTGAGACACTGAGTCCATGCTGGGGGCTGAGTAAGGAGCAGGGTCTGCCTGCCTGGGAAGAAGCTCCTGCCTCCCGGCCCAGGACTCTGCCCTGTGGGGCTGGTCGGGGGGAGACAGGGCTTTGGACAGAGACTTCCCAGAGCTGAGGTGTTGTGGAGCGTCAGCGGGGTGGGGGCTGCTCCAGCCTCTGAATGTAGCACCCCAGGTGGGGTTGGGCTCTGTTCCCAGACACTGCAGTGTCTGTGATATTCAAACACGTGCAGGCACACATGGTATAAAGTCCCTTCTTTAGAGAAGTCAGACAGGGGGCCCTCCTGAGTGGCGTGTGACTATCACCCAGGCAGTTAGGGTTCCACCAGAGAAACAGCAGCAGCCTGACGCATAGACATGGCTGTGGACATGGTGTAGTGAGACAGGCTGTAGACTGAGATGTAGTGAGATACGTACAGCCATGTCTAGGTATAAAGAGATTTATTTCAAGGAATTGGCTTATCAGATGAGGGGGGCTGGTCAGGGAAGTCTGAAATCCATGGACAGGTGGCAAGCTGGGAACTCGGCGGGAGTGGACTCCATCTGCTGGGTTTCTTCTTCCTCAGAGGAAGCCCCAGTTTGCTCTTAGGTCTTCACCTGCTTGGACGAGGCCCACCCCACCGTTGGGTGCCTTCTTGACTTCCATCAGCCGCTTGCAGGTGTGGAGCACGTGTGCAGAAACCTCCACACAGCACCCGGGGAGGGCGTGGCTGAATCACTGGGTGCTGTGGCCTGGCCAGGCTGAGATAAAAGTGACCATTGGCTTGGAACAGGGGAGACCCTTTCCCGACCCTGTCTTGGGGGAAAGCAGAGGGATGAGGAGGGGCAGGTGACACCCAGGGGCCCCACTTCTAGCCCATCTGCCCACCCCTGAAGGCTTTCAGAGGAGTCCCCGGGACTTTGGGGTCCCTGGGCAGGAGGACAGGACACGCTGAATGTCCTGAATTCATGGGGTAGCCTTGTCATGGGGAGTCGGTGTGGCTAAGCCTGGGCAACAGCAGGTCAGACGGACAGACAGACAGCTGTGCCCATTCTCCCTACTTATTTCGGAGTTGGCCCTGGTGCCTGTGGGGCTCAGGGCGGGGCCTAAGCTAAGAGAGGCCTTAGCTTGGTGTTTCCCTCCCAGTGTCCAAGGTGGGTTGCGCACGGCCTGTGGACAGGGAGGACAGAGGAAGTAGCCAGCTGAGAGCGGCCAACAAGGAGGCGCTGAGGGAGGACAGACTTGCAGGCACAGTCCACCTGGGTGGGAAGCAGGGCAGAGCCAGCTCTGTGGAGCCCCAAGACAGAGCTACAGCTCCCAGGGAAAGTCAGAGGGAAACTAGGCCATCCAAAGAGAGCCCCTGCCCACAGGGCTGTCCCAAGACAGTGAGTGCTGCCCTGGAGGGCCCTGCAGATGAGGCAGCCCTGAGTGGGGTCCAGTCGGGTGCCGGGGTAGGAGGGGCTGGACTGATGCCCACACCTTGGAGGCCCTGATGCTGAGGCTCTGCAGCCACTTGTGCCTGCTAGCTGCCACCCCTGCTTCCTTCTTGTGGTCTCTTGACTCCGGACCCTGAACCCCGGCCCTGGGCACAGGGGACCTGCCCCAGCCCTGCTTCCAGTCTAGTAGGGAAGACAGATAGAAGGGAAGGGTCCTGCGCCCTGCAACAGTGCTCTGTGGGGGGCCCAAGCCCAGCCCTGGGGGGCACCAGCCCGAGACTGGATGTGAGAGGGAGGGTCCTGGCTGTGTGCACGGGGGCTTGGGGGCAGGAGGCAAGTGCAAGGCTGGCCTGGGGAGGGGCGGGGACACTAGAGCACAGCAGAGGCCCCACATCCGTGGTTTGCACATGTCACTGGCTGCTGAGTAGAGAGCAGCCAAGGGTGGATTTATGGGGAGAGTGAGGAGACACATTCAGGTCCCAGCAAGGGCTGGAGAAGGAGTGGCTGGGAGCTGCGGATGGTGGGGTGCCTGCACCCATTCCTCCTTCTCCTCACGTCTCCCCGCTTGAGACCATCAGAGACCTGAAGGTCCCTCAAGGCCACCTGTCCTTTGGTCCCCCAGGAAACCGCATCATCATGGGTAAGAGCCACGTGTTCCGGTTCAACCACCCCGAGCAGGCCCGGCAGGAGCGTGAGCGCACGCCCTGTGCGGAGACGCCAGCTGAGCCTGTCGACTGGGCCTTTGCCCAGCGTGAGCTGCTGGAGAAGCAGGGCATCGACATGAAGCAGGAGATGGAACAGAGGTGAGGCGGAGGACACCCCCGTCTGCCTGCTGCCACTCTTGCCCTCCCGCGCTCACCCCAACGCCCCATTGCAGGCTCCAGGAACTGGAGGACCAGTACCGCCGCGAGCGGGAGGAGGCCACTTACCTGCTGGAGCAGCAGCGGCTGGTGAGTGACGGGGCCCCGCCCTCCCTGCGAGCCACCACCTACGCCAGAGGACGCCTGTCCTCCCATGCCCCCACTTCCTGCTTGCCTGGCCCTGTCTCTTGCATCCGAACAGTGGGATGTGGTGAGGCCCACTGTCCAGGCACAGTGCGAGAGGCCCAGGCAGGTAGGGCCGTAGTGGAGTCACAGGCCTTCTTTCTGCAGGACTACGAGAGCAAGCTGGAGGCTCTGCAGAAGCAGATGGACTCCAGGTACTACCCAGAGGTGAACGAGGAGGAGGAGGAGCCCGAGGATGAAGGTGAAGGGTCACTGGGCCAGCATCTGCTGTGTCAGGAGGGTCTCAGCATGGAGGTGGGCAGCCCTGGGCCCCTCCCTGGAGGTCACTGGTCAGCACTTTTGCACTGGGGTCTGGACCTGTCTCTTTAGGGGAGACCCCCTTGCCCTGGAAGCCCCGTGAAAGCAGGATTTGGGGAGCAGGGAGACTGTGCCACAGCTAGCAAGCAGCTCTGCACACTCACACACTTGCATGTGTACACACAGGCACATATTCACATGCACACACGTACACACGTGTGCACACACATGTTGCCTCTGACAGGAGTGTCTGGATGTTGATGGGGAATGGGGAATGAGGCTGGTAGGGGCTCACCATGCTTATAGGCGTCCACTCTTCCCGTCCTGCTGACCACAAGGCTCGTGGGGTCCCCGAGGAAGAGTCCACTGTGCACATCACCTCAGGATTCCCTTAGTGAGCATGCGCTCAGGGGGCCAACCTGGCTGACCTCCTGCAGCTGTGGGCAGCGGTGGCCCACATGCAGGTGGGGAGGGGTTTGTGCCCATCTCGGCCTCTGGCCAGCTGGTCGGCAGCTTTGTGCTAGCATGACCTTGGCCTCTTCCCTTGTTTGGCTTCATTTACCCAGCGAGGCTCCCTCCCACTGCAAAGCTCAGGCGCGCCCGATTGGGGGCAGCCAAAGGCACGTAGTGCTGTGTTGGGAGGAGAGGTGGGGCCTCAGCACAAGGACAAGTCCCTCCTTGTGTCCCTGCTTGTCGTTCTCTCAAGAGCCCAGTGGACAGACAGGGCATGGGCAGGGAGAGGGTGTACGGGCCAGCACCGCCTGGGAGGACCTGGCTTGCCCTCCTGCCTCCTCTCCTGTGGGTCCTGCTCCCCACTGCTGGCCCCGGATGGCATGTGGCTGTCATTGACAGTGTTGCTCCTCAGCCACTCTCATCTTCAGCCTGACTCACAAGGCTGCTCATGGCGGCCTCTCCTTTGGGGCACGCAGAGCTTTTCATGTTCCCCACCGTGACAGAGCTCTCTGCCGGTTTCTTCTTTCTGTGTACCCAAATCGTCAGTGTGAAACGGCGGGGCCAAGCACAGAGCTCTCCCAGCTCAGGCCCAGAGTGGGAGGAAGCCTGGGGAGAGAGGGAGGGACCCGTTCACCTCCGGCCTCAGTGACTACAGGGGGAGTAACCTTCCGGCCTTCCATCTTTTTACCTGATGACCACCCGGCCGTGATGTACACAGAGCACAGGGCCAGCTTAGGCAGCCCTGTGGAGTGGCTGACCGGACGGACCTTCCAGGGGGCGGGACATGGTGGGCAGGGTCGTGGCCTTCCTGCGATGACCACCTGTGACCTCTCCCCACAGTCCAGTGGACGGAGCGGGAGTGTGAGCTGGCACTCTGGGCCTTCCGGAAGTGGAAGTGGTACCAGTTTACATCTCTGCGGGACCTGCTGTGGGGCAACGCCATCTTCCTCAAGGAGGCCAATGCCATCAGCGTGGAGCTGAAAAAGAAGGTGGGCTGCCCACTGGCTGCACCGTTTCCTATTGGAGAGAGTGCGTCACCTCACTCATGACGGGGACAGCTGCTTGGGACTCAGCGCTTGGCTGTCTGCCAGCCCTGGGGGTGGCGTAGCAGCCCTGCCTGACCTGGGCCCCCCAGAAGGGTGGGCGGTGAGGGAGCCCAGGACTGGCCAGGTGGGAATTGGCTGCCCTGCTCACGGGAGACGGAGGCCGGGTGGACAGGCAGAAAGCAGGTGGTCCCCTCTGGCGGCTGTCTGGAAGGTTCCAGTGAACCACTGTGGGGCAGGCAGCTGAAATCTCCAGAAGGTGGGAAGGAAACCTTTCTGGGGACCTGGCGCCCTGTCCCCCAAGGAGCTGATGAGTGGTCATCTTCCCCCATCACAGGTACAATTCCAGTTTGTCCTCCTGACGGACACACTCTACTCCCCTCTGCCACCCGACCTGCTGCCCCCAGAGGCCGCCAAAGACCGAGAGACACGGCCCTTCCCCCGCACTATTGTGGCCGTGGAGGTCCAGGACCAGAAGAACGGGGCCACCCACTACTGGACGCTGGAGAAGCTCAGGTGTGGCTGGAGGGCTGCTGGGTGGACGGTGGGAGGGTCCTCCTGGGCAGGGCTGAGGCCACAGGAGCGGTGGTGGGCACAGGCTTCGCGGCGAGTACCTGCAGACACTGCTTTTCCTCCTGTTCCAATTCTTTTAAAATCAGAAGAAAAATGTGGATAGAGTCCAGCCTTGTAGAATCCTCATTCTCTTACTACCAATGCAGCAATCGTACATAAACATAGATTTGGGCGTTTTCTTTCAGAGGAAAGGACAGATAAGGGGAATGCTCCCTAGGCCCACAGGGGTCAGGATGGTGCAGTGGAGGGGAGGGCAGGCTGTGGCACCGACAGAACAGGCTGGCAGAACACCCAGAGCGGGTATAGCAGGGCCTGAAGGGTGGCTCCCCAGAGGGGCTGGGAGAGGTGGTGGGGGGCGGAAGGAATGTCCCCTTGCTCCTCCATTCAGGAAGCTGCCGGGAGGTGGATCCCTTAGCTGAGCCCAGTGGAAGGTGGAGGAGGAGCTAAGGTGGGGGTGGCGAGGAGGAAGCCTGGGCTGTGCCCCTTTGTGCCCAGTGTGAGCTCGTGTCCTTCCTAAAGCTCGGCCTCTGCTGTCCCCACATGCTCACTCTGATTTGTCTTGAGCCTTAATTTTTTTTTTTCTTTAAGTGACAGGGCCTTGCTCTATTGCTCAGGCTGGAGTGCAGTGGTGTGATCACAGCTCGCTGCAGCTCGAACTCCTGGGCACAAGTGATTGTTCCACCTCAGCCTCCCAAGTAGCTGGGACCACAGGTGTGGGGTGCACCATGGCACCCAGCTAATTTTTGATTTTTTTTTGTAGTAGAAATGAAGTCTCGCTCTGTTGCGCAGGCTGACCTCTAACTCCTGGCCTCAACCAATCTTGCACCTTGACCTCCAAAAGTACTAGCATTATAGGTGTGAGCCACTGCACCCAGCCAGGCCTTAAGTTATGGGGGTGACTGAGTCACCCTGTGAGGTCAGCACCAACAGTGGAGGAGTTGAATGTCACTCACAGGCCCCTGGAAAGCAGAGCATGGCGTGCCCCGCCCTGCAGGGCTACACGGGGAGGCACCAGGGCCCATCGGGAGGCAGAAAAGAGTGGGAGAAGGCCCAGGCAACAGCCTGGGGTTGTGGGAAAGGCCAGGCAGGGCAAGGAGACTGCTTAGGCTTGGCTAGTTTGAATAATTCTGCAGCGCTCTGGGGCATAGGGCTGTCCCTAGTTGTCAGGTACCTGACCCTGGGTGATTTAGGCCAGGGGGAATATTGGTCTGGTGTGTGAAAAAGTTAGAGAAGGGAGGTGGCTGGGGTACAGACTTGGGATTGGTTGGTTTGTGTAGGAAAGGCAGGGGTGATGGCAAGTTGCTGACTGTCTCTAGAAAGTAGCAGGACCTGGGCAGCTCTCCCCAGCCTGCAGTGCCCCCCAAGGATATCAAAACATCACAAGTACAGAAAATAAAAATATGATTAATGTACTCATGCACACATACACATTCATGCAAACACACACACACTAATAAGCATTCATGAAGACGTGCACATATATGCAGCGTACACTCCCACAGTCACGCTCCTCATTCTTCTCCCCTGTTCTCCCAGGTTACGTGGCTTTTGGAAGGACGGGCAGCCACTGTTGATGTGGTTTCTCTTATACCTGAGACCTAGGGGCACAATGATTGCTTTTCTTTCCTTCCACAACATTTGAGGGGAGTGCTCCTGCCAATAATAATAATTTTTAGGCTATTTTCTCTGTCTTCTGTGTCCCTACCTCCAGTTTGCCCTTTATTCCTTGAGCTCTTGGGCCTCTGTGGCCTGATCCCCCTTTCTGAGCTTCACTTGGCTTCTCTTCTTGCCTCTCTGCTGACTTTCCAGCAGCCCAGTGCTGCCAGCACCTCGAGCCCCCCACTGCTGGTTCCCCGGCCCACCCCCTGGTGGGAGTTTGGGAGGAGCTGTTGGTGACCTTGCATGCTTAGCTGAGTGTGTTACCTGTGGCTGACCAGCTCCAAGGGCCACAGAGGGGTCTGTCTAGCAAGCCCCCTGAACCTTGATGACCCTGAGCTGGATGTTGTGGCTGGAGCTGGGCTGAGTTCATTGTCCCCAGGAGATAAGGGTGTGTAGTGCCAGCTACTGAGTGCTGGGCCTGGGTCCACATTGACCCCTGCCGTCCCTGCAGGCAGCGCCTGGACCTGATGCGGGAGATGTACGACCGCGCTGCAGAGGTGCCCTCCAGTGTCATCGAGGACTGTGACAACGTAGTGACTGGCGGAGACCCCTTCTATGACCGCTTCCCCTGGTTCCGGCTGGTGGGCAGGTGGGCACCTCCTCCCTTCCTTGGCAGAGAGAGAGAGACGAGAGAGAGAGAGAGAGAGAGAATGAGAGACTGAGAGAGAGAGATGGCAGTGGGGGTAGGAGTGGGCCCTGTCCTGACACAAGCAAGGAGCGGCCCTGACAGGTGCTTTTCCAGCCCCAGACTTCCAGCCCTGTCCTCCCTGGCCTGAGGTTCCTCCCAGCCATTCCTCTCCACACACCACAGGACCTATTATTTCAGGGGACGTGGGATGGGGTCTTGGCACTGCCACCCAAATCCACTACAGGGCTGTAGCCACCAGAACCCATGCATCCGTGTGTGAATATGTGAGGCTCCCAAGCAAACTCTCCGGGTCACCTGGTGGCCCTGAGGGTGGGAACATGGAGGCAGGGCTGTGTCACCCAAGCCTTAGAGACGACTGCCTCCTTCCCTGGTCTCCCAGTCTGGGGTCTGCACCCAGCCCCCTTCACCCCATGGGACTGTGGCATTCTGAGGCCTCAAAGTGGCCAAACTCTCGAGGTCCTCATATGGCCTCAGCCACTCCCAGCCGAGACCCCTGTTCTCAGTCCCACCTGCAGGTGTCCTCCGGAACTTTCCGGAACCTTCCTGCTGGCCATACATGTGATTTCTTTCCAAGACTAGGGGGACAGTTTTGGTTCTCTTGTCTTTTAAAGCAGCATTCTCAATGGTCTGTGTGTTTGGTTTTGGTTTTAAACAGAAGTTCCCCCCAGCCCCGGCCCTAGCCCCTGTTCGTCCCTGCGAGTCGCTGGTGTTAACTTCTCTCTGTCTTGTCGCACTAACCTCAGTTCAGCCATCTCTGGCTGCAACAGCTACCCTCTTCTGAACACATGCATGAGCGAGCGCATGGCTGCTCTCACCCCCTCCCCCACCTTCTCGAGCCCCGACTCCGACGCCACCGAGCCTGCCGAGGAGCAGAGCATGGGGGAGGAGGAGGAGGAGGAGGAGGAGGAGGAGGAGGACCTGGAGGACGACGTCTTTCCGGAGCACGAGCTGTGCGACGGCCGGGACCCGTTTTACGACCGGCCCCCCCTGTTCAGTTTAGTAGGAAGGTTGGTGAGGTCGAGGAGAGCATGCTGGGGAGGACCCAGCTCTTTTGCACAGGAGCACTGCTGCGGGCACAGATGGACCGCTGGGGCCTGGCCCGGGCCCTCCCAGGGCAGGCGAGGCAGGTGGAGGGGCTGACCTCCTGAGGAGAGCACCCAAGGGCCCCCGGGCCCTGCATCCTTGCAGTGGGGCTGCTCACCCATCCTGGAGACGGTCGCTTTGGGCCAGCAGGGAAGAGTCCGGGTTCCAGGTACAGAAGAAGTAGTGCACCCCGGAGCTTGCAGCTGTGGCCCCAGGCAGGTGGGACTATTTCTGCAGAGAGGCCGTAGGAACCCCAGGGTGGCTCAGGCACCCAATGGCTGAGTTTCTCCCTGAAAGTCCCAGTGCAGGGCCCGAGGGGCATTTGGTAGATGAGGGCCAGCCACACCCAAGCTGGATGCCCGTTCTGTCATTCTCCTGGGATTCAACACTGTCCTAGCGCAGGCAGCCTCACCCCAGCTCAGCTGTCATCCGGAAGAGACAGAGGCTCCCAGCTGCTCTCAGTGCTCTCCACTCTCTGTGGGGAAAGGAGCTGAACCCAGAGGCAGCCATCCTGACGCCAGGGAAGGCCTTCCTTTTAGGAGTGGGAGGCAACTGCTCACCCTCCCATCTCCCTCTGAAGCGGTGGGGCCTGGGCAAACCATGCCTGTCTAAAGGTGAGGACGACCGCATCCCTCCTGACCTCCTCAGTTGTCATGGCCAGAGATGGGGACATGTGACCCAGTGCCCTCATGGAACGTGCCCTTTGCAGAGAGAAGCTAGTTACCACATTGCCCAAATCGATGAGAGACCACAGTTGGGAGACAGAATGGAGGCTGGGGAAGCCCAGACCCAGGGAGCAGGCGTCCTACTCTTCTGGCAGATTTGGCAAATCCAACTGCCTTCCTGTTATCATGGAAGGGAAGTCAGGTGAAGGAAAGATCTAGAAACCTGGCTGGAGTAGTCAGAAAGTCAGCTCAGGAAACAGCTGAATTTATATGTTTTTCATATATGAATGTTATAAGATAATTCTTAGTAACAACCTTTTTTGGAGATTAAGATTGCTTCCCTGGGCTAGGCCAGTGGAAGTTTTCAGAAGTCTTGAGCTTGGAGCAGCCGTTCTGACAGCTGAAGGCTGAGGGTGGCCCCAGATCACAGAGTCTGCACGAGCTTTACTCTGTCCTTGGGTGGAGGTGGTGGAAGGAAAGCCTCGCCCTCCCTCTTGGAAGACAGCAGGTCCCCATGGGCCCATGCCATGGATTTATTCTGATTAACTTTCCCTGAATGTTACCAGGCTGTAAGGTGAGATAAGCTGGCCCACCAGATAAAAACTTGTGGCACCCTCCCTCTGACATGCTCTGGGCCTGTACTTCCCACTCTACAGCGCCCAAGAGGGAGCAGTGGACCCCAAGGCCAGTTCCATGCAGGCCTCTCGCAGAAAGCCCCGGGCTGTGGGGCCAGGCCCCTGCACCTGCTGGGCCCCAGGAGTGGCTCCGGGTGTCAGGCAGGTGAGGGATCAGGACGCACAGGGGGACAAGGACATCAGAAGTGGGGTGGGGCTCTCGCAGTCTCAGCCAGAAAGAGCTGGGTCCTTCCAACATTTTTTTCCCCTTTTGTGGATTTGAGATTTTACAAAACTACCAAACCAAACAAAAGTCATCAAAGAGAGACCTGGCCCCCATATTGCGGGGTGGTCTGTGAAGGGCTTCATTTGGAATCTTAATCTTTTTGGTTTGGCAAGAATTGGCTTCTCCCACGCAGCAGCTGTGCAGGCCCAGCCCTGGGAAGGCCCCTCGTTGATTTTCCTTTAACCTTCTGGTAGCTGCTGGCTCTCTCTCCAAAGCTTCAGCGAAATTGGGGCACCCACTCTTGTCCCCTCTGGAAAGGCTTCCCTGGGTCCCAGCATGCGTCTTTGCACCTCACCAATCTGTGGTTAGCGCCTGCCTCCTCCCTCCCTCCCGCCACACTCAGCCCTCGCTCTGTCTGCCTCTGCTGCCGCCTCTTTCGGGCTGGGTTTCAGTCTGCTTCAAGGTACCCTGGCCTCTGCAGAAGGCCCATCCAGCACTGGCCTCCTGTGTTCCACACTGGGGCTCCTCACCCAAGGCCAGGGTCGGCCCCCAGGGGCCTCTGCCTCTGGCAGTCTGGGGCACCAGGTGACCTGGGGAGGCAGTTGGGTTGGTGACCACTGCCCATATTCCAACAGGTGTGGGCCTGGGGCTCTGATTTCCCCAGGCACAGGAAGGGTAGGAAACACGGGAAGGGTGGGTGGGCACAGGAGCTGCAGAGAGAGCAGGGCGAGAGGCTGACTGCCTGGGATGAGGGTCCCTGGGAGGAGAGCAGGGCTGGGAAGGGAGCGCAGGTGTCTAGGGCTGGGTCGATAAACGTTGCTGCGGCTCGAGGGCTTCACTCAGGGTCAGCTCTGTGCCTGCCCCCTGGGCTGGCAAGACCACGCCACTCCCTTGAGTCCCACATGGTGCTCTCGGTGGGCTGGGGCCCCTCTCTCTTGGTATTTGCAGCATGGCTGTGGATGGCGTTTCTCGGCCTGAGATCCCGAGAGCCACTCTGTGCCTTGGGTGTGTCTGTGGCAGGTAGGGACAGGCCTGGGCTATGTTCTGGCTCCCAACATGTCAGGTTATTTCTGGCACCTGAAGGGCAGGTGGGGGACATGGCCTGCCCAGGCCTGTCGCCTGGGAGGGTGTCTCCACTGGGCAGAGACGCCAGGCTCCAAGATGCCAGGCACCAGCACTCTGCCCCATCGCCTTACACTTCAGGTGCATTGGTTGGCATGGTCTCTTCACAGAGTGGGGGGGCACCTTCCAGGCCCAGCTCACAGCTCTCTTGAGGCTGGTGCTGCCACTGGGGCAGTGGATTCCGGGTCCCAGAGGTCCCTTCTGGCTGAACAAGTCTGTCACCAAGCCAGGCAGACTGGGACGGGCAGTGGGGAGGGGAGAACACCCGACACTAGAGCCACAGCCAGATCCACGTGTCTCACTGGTGGCCTGGGGCCTGGGTCAGTGCCATGAGGATGCTCACAGGGTGCAGTAGAGATCGGGGAGCATTTGGTGTCAGACCCCAGGAGTCCTTTTCATTGTATAACCTCCACCTGGATGTCCCTCAGGGCCCCACCCCCAGCAGTCCCCACCTTTGGGGCACAATCTGGGCTGCATCTTGCCCATCTGTTTGAAAGCAGCAGCAGTCTGTGGTGCTGCAGTGTCTGGGTCCCCCCAGCTCCCAGCATGAGGACAATCTGAAAAAGCATGAAACAGTCAATCTGCTGAATTAATCAGCTGTGGAACTAGGCAGGTGCCCAGGTGAATTGCCCACTCAGAGTGGGTAGGGAAGCGCCCATGGAAGCCAACCCTGGCCCTAGAAGTAGGCGGTGGAGCTTGGTGTTCACACAGTTGAGCTGGAGAGGAGTCCCGCGCAGGCCCTCACTGCCAGGCCCTGGCCACTTCCTTAATCTCTGTGCCTCAGGCTCTTCCTCTGTGCGATGGGGTATAAGTACCACATTTCATCGTTCTAGTGTGCTGAGACCCTGGGTGGATTTTGTGCATCTCCAAGAAAGAAGGGTGCCGCTGGTTGAGTTGAGATGGCTGTTTATTAGGACGTGCCCTGGCGAGGAGATGGGGGTGCGCTGCCTCCCAGGAGACAGAAGAACAAAAGGCCCTGTGTGCTCACCACGGTGCTTGGCCCCTCGGGAGCCTCTACAGATGCTGGCTGCTGTGATTTCTGCCATGATGCTTCATAATGGGATGATCTGAGCCTGGGGCTGTGAGGGACTTGGGCCTCCTCGAGCCCAGCCCCTGTCTGATTTGTGAGGCACTCGCGTCTGTGCTGTGCTGCTGGTGCCTGAGCCCACGGTTGGCAACATGGCAGAAGGCGTCCCCTCAGAGTCAGTTCCACACAGCATTTGTTCAGCAGGGAGGCCCTGTGCAGACAGCCAGGAAGGGGCCTGCCTGCTGCAGTCTCACCATGTGACTTGGGACGGGCCTGGCCCCTGCCTCAGTTTACCTGTCCGTGCACGACCTCAGACCCCTTTGGACCTGGCCTTTCAGGGCAGTGGAGGAGGGTGAGGAGGGGGTCAGGTGAGACCCTGAGAGCTAAGAGTGGGGAGGGTGTGGCCCCTTCCCTCACTCAGGTGCAGAAGTCTCCTCCCTCTGGGTGGGGTCCTGGGGAGCTCAGAGGGTTGTGGGTCGCCTTTGTGGTGCCGTGAGTGGCACATGTGGATGGCCCCAGAGCCCAGGGCTCTGCTCACTGCCAGCAGCCCCTGCGGAATTGCCCTAAGCTTCTGGGAAGGCAGCTCTGGCGAGGGGTCTTTGGGGTAGGAGAGGTAGTGTCTGACCCTGTCTGGGTGGCCCTGGACAGCTATAGCCTCTCCTTCCTGTGAGGCTGTGCCAGTGGATTCAGGGACCCCGTGCCTGAGTGTCCTCACCTGGCCCACAGTGGGAGTGGTCCCGGGTCCCGCCCCCTCTCTGAGGGCCGCCCTATGGGCTCCCTGCAGAGTAGGGTGGGGGTGGGGCAGTCTCTTCATCCTCAGTGCCCTTCTGCCCTCCAACCCTGGGATTTTTGCAGTGGGCCCTGGCTCTGGGAAAGGGTGGGGTGGGTAGGGACTGGAGGGCAGGGGCTGGCTCAGAGCCTGGCAGCGTAGGCTGTCCTGCCTGGTCTCCTTACGTCTCGCCCAGTGTGGTGCGACAGCCACTGGGAAGAGCCCGTGCTGTCTGGTGGCCCAAGTCCTGGCTCTCGCCAGCCCCACTCCTGGACATCTTAGCTTTGCTCAGTTTGTAGCAGCCCCTTTTCCCACCCCCACTGTCAGGCAGAGACCCTCGTCCAGGAGTCCGGGGTGCCCTGGGGAGGGAAGGCATTTCCGTCCCCCTCCCAAGGGGATGCTGGTGAGTCCCTGCCTGTAGGACACCCAGCGGACTGTGGGGAGGGGCCCCCACCCTGTGGGCCTCAACGTCCTCTCGTGACTAGGGCCAGGCTGAGTTTCCATGGGCGCTTCTGGACATAACCCGGGTGGGTGGCCCAGGGCAGTGGAACCCCAGCCCCAGCACTTAAGTCAGGCAGAGCCACCTGCAGCCCTGTGGGTAACAGGTCCCTCCCTGACGGGCTCCGTGGGTGTGGAGCACTCGCTTCTTGGGGGGCATCTTTAGAGGGCGTGTTGTTCTGGGGAGAGGGCCCAAGAAGCCACCAGGGGCTTCCTTTACCCCAGGAGGGAGGACCGAGGAGACTTTCAGGCCCCTGGAGGGCAGCGAGACCCTTTTCCTACTACAAGCCTTGCCTGGGCCATTTTGCGGTGGGGGCAGTGGTCAGGTCTCAGTTTAGCAGAGCCACTCAGAAAGTAAGGGAGGTTCCATGGGGATGTGTAAAGTCAGAATGAACGAGACGGCCAAGGGGAAGGTCCTGACAGTTGCTGGGATGCTGGGGCCTCTGAGGAGGGTTGAGGCAGCCGATGAGATGGAGGGTGGGGCTTCTGCATTGGGAGCAGGAATACCCGGGGCATCCATGGACCCATGGGCCACAAGGCCGAGGTTGACTGTGATGGGGAGGCAGGGCCTGGACCCCCAGGGCCACGTGGGGCATGGATGCCCCTGCAAGGAGCTTGGGTGTCACCAAAGGCATGGGAGGATGTCCGACTAGTGCCTTGAGACCTTTCTGGCTGCTGTGGAGCCATGGCAGGGTGGCTGGTGGTGATGGGACAGTTGAGGGGGGCTTCTTGAAGACTTTTGAGGTGGAACTGATGGATTTGATGAGTAGGAGAGGCCACGGTGCTGCTGGTTTCGACTTGCTGCTTCAGGGAAGTCGGGGGGGTTAGGGGGTGGAGGGAGCAAGGTCAGGAGCCCACCTGAGAGAGGTGTTGGACATTCACAGCCCGCTGAGTCTCACTCAACCCCTCATCAGTATCTCAGTACCTCTGCCTCCCAGTTCAAGCGATTCGCCTGCCTCAGCCTGTTGAGTAGAGTAGCTAGGACTACAGGAGCATACCACCATGCCCAGCTAATTTTTGTGTTTTTAGTAGAGACGGGATTTCACCCTGTTGGCCAGGCTGCTCTCGAACTCCTGACCTCAAAGGGCTGGAATTTCAGGCTCTGGAATTGAGGGCCCCAGGCACGGCCCTTTCCCATGCCGGAGGTCACGGTGCTCAGAGCCACACCTGCCTGGAGCAGGAAGCAGGGTATCCTTCCCCCTGGCTGGGTGGCGTGGGTCTTCCAGGGTCCTCTCTGTCTTCCCAGCTGCCCACATATTGGTCAGCACAGGGAACGCAGCAGGTGTCTGGCGACTGTAGTTGCTCGTGGTCTCTGCCTAGGCTGGTCCTGGGAAAGGAGGGGTCTTGGTGCTCTGGGTTGCACCATGGCCCTGGGGGTGTCCTCAGGGCTCCATTCAGCACTTCCCTGGGCCCTAGACTAGGGGTGCCTCATCTTGGCCAACTCACCTCAGAGCTCCCACCTGCTGAGTTTCTGTTCAGGCAAGGGGTTCTGTGGGGTCTGTGAGTGTCAGGGACCCCTGGGAAGTGGGCAGGAGGCAGAGCAATGCTGGCCATCAGTGCCAGTGTGAAAGGGTGGGCAGCACAGTGTGGTCTGGGTCCTGGTCTGGCCCCCGTCCTCCTTGAAGCAGGCTGAAACCTCCCTCCTCGGGTGCTCCCTTCTCAGGCAGCCAGGTCCGGGCCCAACTGGGCTGTGCCTCTGCTCGCCGCGGCTCATTCCTCGTCCTCCTCTCTGTCCCTTCACCTCCTGTCTCCTCCGAGTGCCCACCCTGCCTGTTCCTGCCCGCTCTTGCTGTCCTGGCCCTGGCTGTCCTGTCCGGTGGCTTCCCTCTGCTTTGCAGCTCCGTGTTGTGTCGTGAGCCAGGCCATGCTGCCACCGCTGCCGTCAGAACACGTGTGGAGGGGTGGCCCATGACCACAGCCTCTACTTCCCCCCAGGGCCTTCGTGTACCTGAGCAACCTGCTGTACCCCGTTCCCCTGGTGCACCGTGTGGCCATCGTCAGCGAGAAAGGCGAGGTGAAGGGCTTCCTCCGCGTGGCGGTCCAGGCCATCTCAGGTGCGTGTGGGTCAAAGGCCGTGTGTGGCGTTGGAGCCTCTGGGGCTGGCTCTCACCTCTGCAGGCAGAGGCAGGGACCTGAGAAGGGCCTTCTGGCCTCATGTAGTGGTCAGTGGGAAGCTGGCCTCAGCTGGCCCTCCACTCTTCCTGGGGTCAACCTGAAGCTGTTTTTCCACCCTGTCCTTAGCTGGCTCCTGGGGCTGCTGCCCCCCAGTGCGCCCTGGAGGGGAAACCCCTGCTGCCCAGCTCTTGGCTCTGGCCTCCTGGACTCCCCGGGGTCAGCTGGGGGTGCCTTGGGGGCCGTGCAGGCTGAGCCCAGTGCCATCTGAGCCTGCTCTGGTTGGGGGTCTCCACCTTCCCATCAGGCAGCCCCAGATGGACCCAAGACCACCTGGATCCCTCCCCCAGCCTGCTGTAGAGCAGGTGCTCTCTGTCAACACATCCCACCCACCCGGCTGTCTCTGCAGCCCCAGGAAAGGCTTGCGAGGCACCGTCCCTGGCCCCTGGGCCCTGCTCAGGGCAGCCCTCCCTGGGGTGCTTCTGGTTCCCTGATGCACTCCCTGGTCTCTCAGGCACAGGCCTGTCTGCCTCCACACTGGGCCTGAAGATGCAGCCCCTCCCTTGGGGGAGGTGGAGACTGGCACTGCTCGGCCCAGGCCTGACCGGCTCCTGATGGCGGGAGGCACCAGCGCAGCCCCAGCGAGCCTGTGAGCCTTGGTTTGCTCACTTGTAAACGGGATCCGTTGTAATGCTCCACACCGGATAGGAATGTTGAAGGGTACTCGAGAACACAGATGTGAAGAGCTTGGCTGCCTGGGAAGCTGCAGGGCAAGAGGCGGCTTGTGCCATGAGGGAAGGTCCCATTCCCTTCCCAGCCCACCCTGGGCTCCTCCACCAAGGTCTCCCCTCACCAGGGACCACTCTTTTTCCTCTCAAAGGCCTTGGCTGCCTGGGCACCCTGGGGAGGGAGTAGTACAGACAGACAGGCAGGCAGGCAGATGGATGCAGAGAGGACGTGCATCCATGGCTGCAGGGGGGCTCCTGGCTACCTGGTTGGGGCTGCTCAGAGGAGTGACTTGGAGCAGGCTGAGATGGCCATACCCCTCCCCAGATGGCAAGTCCCCCAACTATGAGATGGCTCATGTTCTCCACCCTAAGATAACTCATATTCCCCGCAAGATGCAAGATGTCTGGTCTTCCCAGCCCTGCTATCCTGGTTGCCTTGGGCGATTGTAATCCCACCTTATTAATGAAGTTAATTTGACTCTGATGTCAAATTCTCCTTAGCCCATAATTTCTTTCTTTTCTGTTTCTTTTTTTCTTTCTTTCTTTTTTTTATTTTTGACATGAAGTCTTGCTCTGTCACCAGGCTGGAGTGCAGTGGCTTGATCTCGGCTCACTGTGCAACCTCTGCCTCCCAGTTCAAGTGATTCGCCTGCCTCAGCCTGTTGAGTAGAGTAGCTAGGACTACAGGAGCATACCACCACGCCCAGCTAATTTTTGTGTTTTTAGTAGAGACGGGATTTCACCCTGTTGGCCAGGCTGCTCTCGAACTCCTGACCTCAAGTGATCTGCCCATCTTGGCCTCCCAAAGGGCTGGAATTTCAGGCATGAGCCACCACGCCCGGCCAGCCACCGTGTCCAGCCTAGCCCATGATATTTAAATGTTGTTTACAGCACCTCCCACTGGCCATGTCTTTGTTTGTCATCCAGTCACTGTGATACCACTGTGCTGAGAAGCTGGGGGCCCAGCTGGGGAGGGAGGGTGAGCACCAGGGAAGGGCCCCAGCCCTGCTGCTGCAAGGTGCGGTGTTTACTGGAGCTGCAACGCTCAGGAAAACTGGGAACACCTATCACCTCCCTCTCCCCTCCAGGAGGGGCCACCCCCACCTCACCAGGTCCTCCCTATCCTGCCTTGTGTCAGCAGCTCCCACCAAGTGGTCAGGACGGCTGAGCAGAGCCATGCTGACCACTTCCTCCCACTGGCCCCCACCCTGACAGCCACCCGCTGAGAGTGGGGCTGCACCAGAGGCTGTGGGGCTGTCCCACATCCTTGTGAGGGCAACTGCTGTCCTGGTCTGCCCTGGTCAGAGGGGGCCTCTGGGGTCCACGTGGAGGTTGCCCATTTCCCAGGCCCCGGGTTCAATCTCAGTGCAAAGCTCTACCTCTGTCCCGCACCCTATGGGATTGAGAGGTACCCCCACCTCTCAGATGAGGGTAGCCAGTTAGGAAGGTGCACGGCAGCTCTGAGCCCAGGTCTGTGTGCCCAGGTCCACAGCCCCTGCTCTCCCAGGTCATATACTGGGAAACCAGTCTGGGACAGTGCCTGGGAAGTGCTCCTATCCTGGGCTGGGTCACCAGGCCTCCTGCCGGCCATCCTACAACTGGATCATTTTATGTTGGGTGACGCCTAATTGTTTCCCTGTCTGATGGCTGTGGTGGTGGAGAAGGGAACTTAGAAAAGGCCCCGGCCCTTGCATTGGTGGTCTCAGAAGTCTCACCAGCCCTGCCTGTGACCTGGGCAAGGTCGGTTTGCTGTTCCCTCAGCACCGACTCCTCCATGAGCAGGCGCTGGCTGTCGCAGACCATGGCAGGACAGAGCCCAGGGCTTCGGGCAGCGGGTCCACTGAGAGCTTTGAAGGCTGGGGAGTGTGGGCGGATGCACCGGCAGGCCTGGGGAGTTTCGTGAAGGGGCGGTTGGTGGCCCTCGAATGTCTAGATAGGTGATAGGTGGTAGCTTCACCCAGATGGTGGCAGAGGCACGTCGTGATTCTGGAGGTGGAACCAGCAGGGCTGGCGGGGTGGTCTCTGCACATGGGGATGGGGAGGGGCTACCCGGGTTCTGCTTGAGCACCTGGGAATTCGGGCAATATTTGTTTTTGAAAATATAGACTTTGTGACCCCTATCAAAGTGGGCTGTGATGAGGCCATGGCTGCTTTGGGACCCCTGGGCAGTACAGGCGGGTGGTCAGTGTGCCGGGACATGACCTGGTTGTCACTGAGCCACAGGTGGCAGCTTCGGTCAGGGGCCTGCTGCCCGCTCTTGCTCCTGTGCCCTCACTTTGACTGCGGGGTGGCCCAGCCTTGCTCTGCCCACACCCACCTCAGGGGACAAGCTGGGCTCCAACCATTTGCTCCATTTCTCCTGCAGCCGATGAAGAGGCCCCCGATTATGGCTCTGGCGTCCGCCAGTCGGGAACTGCTAAAATCTCCTTTGACGACCAGCATTTTGAAAAGGTACCAAGCTCCCTCCCAAGTCCCCGACCTGGAGGTGCCTGGCGCTCACTGGAGTCCTGTGCAGTTTGCTCCTCTAACGCCCCTGTCTCATCCCATGGGCCTTAAGTCCTCTTGGGGTTCTTCCCTCTGGTCCAGAGCACTGAGCCTGCCCTGTCTCTAAGCACACCACGCCCCTTTTCCCGGGTTTGCCCTGACCCCTGGATCCGCCCATCTCCCACCAAGACCGCTCCAGGGTCCAAGCCGGGGCGCAGAGCAGGTGGACAACACTAGCCTCCAGAACAGACACTGAGGTGCAGCCATCCCCACCCTGTCTCCCTTCTCTGGGATGGTTCTCCTCTGGGTCCCCACAAGACAGCGCATTCCCATGGCCCCCTTCACCTGCTCCCTGCCTGCCACCCAGTGAGAATGAGGGGCCCCCTGAGGCTGCCTACCTGCGGTCCTCATGGGAAGGGCCAGCGCTGTGTCCAGTGGCACCTGGACCACTCAGTCTCCTCTTCCGCTCTTGAGAGAGAGAGTGGTGGAGGAAGGTCCCCAAAGTGCACCCCAGGCCATGCTCAGGTGGCTCCTGGCCCCAGATTCTTAGACTCGCTTCTCACCCGTGCCCACCTGGCCATGCCGTCACCCAGAACCTGGGTGACCTACTCCCTGAGCGAGGTGGTCTGTCTGCCCAACACCTTTTCTCTTAGAGGGGCTGTCGGTGTTGGGGGTGCCCAAGAAGGGGAGGGGAGAGAGCTAACCTGCTGGGCAAGGGGCCCTGGTAGGCGGGGGTCCGGCTGAACTGAAGACCAGAGTAGAGAGGCGGGTGGTGAGTTGTTTCCAGGACAGCTCAGACCTCACATAGCCATACGCTATGGAATCCAAAGACACACATCCACAGCAGGGGAAACTGAGGCCTGGGGAGGTGGGTGACCCCCACAAGGCAGGGGCAGGTCTGGTGCGTGGGTTCCTGGAGGCCCCAGCCCAGGCTCTGGGTGGCACAGCCCTCCGGTGGGCCTGTGACAGGATCTGCGGTGCCCCTCCCCAGCCGGCTTCTGGCTCTCTTTGACTCTGGTCCCCCTCTGATCAGTTCCAGTCTGAGTCTTGCCCCGTGGTGGGGATGTCCCGCTCGGGAACCTCCCAGGAAGAGCTTCGCATCGTGGAGGGCCAGGGCCAGGGTGCAGACGTGGGGCCCTCAGCCGACGAAGTCAACAACAACACCTGTTCAGGTGGGTTCCCCAACCCAGCTGCCCAGGGCGTGGGGCATGCTGAGACCTGGTTCCTGAGCCCGGCCCAGGCCTGTGGCTGGAAGACAATATGGTCTGGACGGTCCATGACTCTCCTTGACTCCCAGCAGCGGTGCCCCCAGAAGGCCTCCTCCTAGACAGCTCTGAGAAAGCCGCCCTGGACGGGCCCCTGGACACTGCCCTGGACCACCTCCGCCTGGGCAGTACCTTCACCTTCCGTGTGACAGTCCTGCAAGCGTCCAGCATCTCTGCCGAATACGCTGACATCTTCTGCCAGTTCAAGTGAGCCCCTGCTGCCTTTGTGTCCCCATGCCGCACAGGGACTCTGTGCCCAAAGCTCCCCTGCCTGGGCGCTGAGCAGGGTGCAGGCCATGTTGGTGCCATGTCGGCCCAGCCCCAGCACCCTGAATGCCCCAGCGCCCTCATGTGAGGCGATTCCACCTGGTAAGGTCTCGTCCCAAGTCCCCCACCCCATACCAAAGCACCTCTTCTGCTTTGCAGCTTCATCCACCGCCACGATGAGGCCTTCTCCACGGAGCCCCTGAAGAACACAGGCAGAGGCCCCCCACTCGGCTTCTACCATGTCCAGAACGTACGTCCCTGGGTGCTTCTCCCCATCCCTGCCACTGACCAACCCTCCCAGGGCCTCTCTGAGCATGGCTCATTCTCCCTCTTCTGAACACCAGTTGTGGGCCAGGGCTGCCCTGAGCACCAGGAACTCCAGTGCCCGGCAGGGTGTAGGAGTGATTTCTGGGCAGTGGGAGACCCTTGATGGGTTTACAACTGGGAGATGGGGGCTGCTCAGAGCCCCTGAGAGCTGCCCATGGTGAGCATAGAGCCGACGGGGTGCCGGATGCAGGTGCAGCGGGGCCTGGGGTTTGTACTGAGGGCTGCGGGTGCTCAGTGAAGGCAGCCCTGGCTTGAGTGTTGGGAATGGTAAGGAGGCAGGGTCACAGGGGCTGCAGGGTGTGGCAATGTCCTGAGAGGTCTGGAAAACTCCAGGCAGGAGGGTGATGGCAGCTGGGCTGCTAGGATGATGGAGAGGAGGGGCCTTTAGGGCAGAGCAGCTCCTCCTGGAGGCGGGAGAACTGGGCTCCTGGGGCAGCAGGGGAAAGAGGTGCCTAACAGTGATAAGGAAAGCTACCAGGGAGCCAGGCTTTGAGTGCCAGGCCGCGGGTGTAGATTTGGCAGGGCTGATAACCTGCAGACTCAGTGAGTTAGTTGACTGGGACTTCTGTCACAAAGCACCATAGACGGGGGCATCTCAAACAACAGAAATGTGGCCTCCCACGGCTCTGGAGGCTGGAAGCTCAGGATGAGGGTGTGGGCAGGGTCGCCTCCTTCTTAGGCCTCTATCCTTGGCTTATAGAACAGCTGCCTCTTCCTTGTGTCTGTCCGCGTGGCCCTCCCCGTCTGCGTGGGTCTGGGCCCAAACCTTCCCTTTTCATAGGGACAGCAGCCATGCTGGATTGGGACCCACTGTGATGACCTCTCTTTAGCTCCATTATCTCTGTAAAGGCCCTATCTCAGAACACATTCTCATTCTGAAGTCCTGGGGTTAGGACTTCAACATATGAATTTGGTGAGGGGGACACGGTCCAACCCGTAACTCTTGCTGAGTGGGGCAGGGCCCAAGAAGGGGCGCCCTGCAGAGACCAGCACTGCCCTCTGTCACCTTTCCCAGCTCTGTGTTCTGAAAGGGCAGCTGACCACGCGGCCCCCGTTCATCCTGGGGAGAGAGGCCGAGGGACACACTCCAGAGTCCATCTGGGGCATGTGGTGGGAGGAGGGGCTGGGCTGAAGGGCCTAGAGGAGGCTGCTGCCCCTGGGCAGAGGTGGGCCCAGCTAGGGGTCCCAGATCTGGGCCTGAAGCACTTAGCTCACTGATGTGACTCTCCTTCCCCCTTGAATGTGGCCTGGCCGTGCCCTCCTGTCCTCCCACCTGCCTGCCCACCAGATCGCAGTGGAGGTGACCAAGTCCTTCATTGAGTACATCAAGAGCCAGCCCATTGTGTTCGAGGTTTTCGGCCACTACCAGCAGCACCCGTTCCCGCCCCTCTGCAAGGATGTGCTCAGGTCAGTGCCCTGGGTCGGGGGTTCGGGGTTGCTGTCCTCAAAGCCCCTGCCCGGATCTTTTCATCCAGCTGTCTTGAAGCTGCAGAGCCTATGCACCCCCTGAAACCCACCTCCCCTGCCAATCCAGGAGGCCTTTTGCCCAGGGCTGGCAGGACTCAGAGAGCGATTAAGAGCTCTGGGCCTGCCCACAGCTTCTCTCCTTCAGGACTGCAGAGCGTTCCTTGTGAGCATTGCTTGACCGCCTGCTGGCCTGGGCAGTGTGCAGGAGCTGCCAGCTGTAGGATGCTGGGGTGGCCCCGGGGAGACCACTTCTGCTGCTGACCAAGGACCCCAGGAAAGGGGCCCAGCTGTGCCACACCCTGAGGAAGCCCGGCCTAGCTCCCTCAGTCCATGCAGCCTCCTGAGACCTGGAAAATGGGGGCTCAGAGAGACTCGTGGGGCTGGGACGTGAAGTCAGGACTTCCACTCAGGCCATCTCACCCAGACCCTTGAAGGTGGATGGGAGTGTCTACCCTGGGCCAAGCCGGCCCCTCCTGGGCACCTCGAGTGCAGAGAGAACAGCAGAGAGGCCTCGGGTGGGCCCTTGTCTTCCCATCTCCAACTCCCCTCAGCTGTCAGGCAGGACTGGGAGCTCAGGGGCCCTCCAGGGTGTCAGGGAAAGAGAAGGGCAATGAAGGCTTTGCTTTGGGGCTGCTTGTCTGTCCTTGGGAGTGCCTGAGGGACTCTGGACTGGAAGCCAGAGCTTGAACCTTGCCCTGGTTTCCTGTGGCCTCTGGGGTGGAATCTGGAGTCCCAAGGGTCCCTCCTCTTCCTCCCACCCAAGCTGTTGGACAGTCTTGGAGAAGAGAGGGCGGGAGGGGGCAGGGATGGGCACCTGGGGCCAGTAGCCCTCTGTCTCCTTCTGACCCCTCCCACCCAGGGTCCCACAGACACCTCACACTGGTGTTTCTTTCTCCACAGCCCCCTGAGGCCCTCGCGCCGCCACTTCCCTCGGGTCATGCCACTGTCCAAGCCAGGTAGGAAGGGTCTCTGGAGCCATCTCAGGGCAATGGGCTCCCCTCACTGTGGGTGCTGTAGTGGGCTGGGCCCCCGCAGTGGATGCTGTCCTCTGTGACGGGGCTGTGCCCTCCCAGGCACTCTGGGGCCACCCTGAGCCTGTCAGGCCTCATGGGGTCCCCATGGAGCAAGGGTCTGCCCTGTGCCCAGAGAGTAGCCTGGAGCTGGTGGCAGAGGTGTGGGGAGCCGAGGAAGGAAGACAGCAAGGGGGCTGAGGGCTTTAATGGGACTTCAGGCATCTCAGCTGAACACAGAGAGGTAGAGATTTGGGGGTGAAGGGCAGTCTAGGAAGCTCCTTCATGGGGGTCCAAGGCTGGAGGTGGGAGTGAGAGTGTGGGGTCAGTCAGGGAGGAGTATTTGTCAGAGCTTTTGCCCGGAGCCTGGAGCCTCTGCCTGTGGGAACAGGTGGGTCGTGGAATAGCACTTGAGATTCATTGGCTTTTAGTTAAAAGAGTGGAGTTTATTCCCTGCAAGACCAAAACCCGAGGACATGGTTGGGGGAGAGCTAAAGGCAGCCAGACTGAGGCCCGGCAGGTGTGGCTGAGTCCCTCACAGCCCAGAAACCCTCCTGAAGGAGGGAGTGTGGTCCCAGGCACCAGCGCCCCAGAGGGTAGGGGCCTGTGTGAGAAGCTGCCTCTGCAGCTGGTGGGTGGAGGCACTGGGTCTGCACACGTGGTGACTAGGTGTCAGCCTCTTGTGCCTGCCTTGCAAGGACCCTGTCCTTTGAACCCCTGTAAGATGAAGGTTTGCAGGCTGAGGACACTGTGGGAGGACACCCTCCAGCTGCTGCGGAGCCAGTCCCTGGTCTGTACAGGTTTTGTGGCCCGCAGTATGGGTTCCCTGAGATTCAGTCTTCCCCACAGCCTGCAAGGAAGACCTGTAGATCCATATTTGTAGGGGAGGCGGAGGAGGCTCAGATGGGACTTGCTAGAGGAGGACCTGTGTGATGTGTCTCAGAGAAGGGAGTGGTGGACAGAGGTGGGTGAAGGATGTGAGGACAGAGGCTGTTTGTCAGGAGCTGGACACAAGTGGAGGGCCAGTGGGAGCTGAGGGACAGGGCCTCTTGGGCCAGGCCTGGGTGCTGGTGAGATGTGCTTGGACTGGTGCAGTAGGCTGTAGCCAAGGTGTGGTGTAGGCGATGGGCCTGGCAGCATGGCAGAGGGGCCCCGTGAGGGTTGTGGGGCTTTTGAACAAGTGTATCTGTGGCTGCCCTGTTGGTTCTTGGGGTCTTGACCACTGTTCTCCTCATGAGCTGTGCCCAGTGTGCATGGCCACGTAGCTTTCCTAGCCGGGGCACAGAGAACGTGAGCGTCCGTGTGACGTGCTGAGGCCACAGAGTGCCCAGGACCCTGTGTATCTTGGGAATGGCTGGGGTTGGCTGGTTGTTTCCCTTGAGGAGGGGGAGGTGCCCTCACTGCCTCTGAGCCCCCTTGGCCCTAGCACCTCCTCCTTGAGTGTGCCCTTGGCACGTGATGGGTCAGGTCTCCCATCCATGCATGCCTCCTTCCTGTCCCTACAGTACCCGCCACCAAGCTCAGCACACTGACGCGGCCCTGTCCGGGGCCCTGCCACTGCAAGTACGACCTGCTGGTCTACTTCGAGATCTGTGAGCTGGAGGCCAATGGCGAGTGAGTGCTGGTGCTGGGACCCCCAGGGTGTGAGTGTGGAGGGGATGGGGCGGAGAGGGACGAGGACCTGAACTGCCTGAGGGTTGCCAGCATCCAGTCATCCTTCCAGCAGGTGTTCACTGCAGACCTCTTGTGGGCCCAGCCTCATCTTGGTCCTGGGGAGTAAAAGCAGACAAAGCTCCCTGCTGTCCTGGAGGAACTGGCATGGGGGGCAGGGAGGTGCTGGACAGATAAGCACCTGAATTGGTGGCCCCATGGTCCTGAGCACTAGGACAGCAAACCAGGACATGGGTCGGGGATGGGGCGGCAGAAGACACTTACAAAGTGATCAAGGGACTTTTGAGCAAAGACCTGAAGGAGGTGGGAGGGGAGCCCTGAGGCCCTGGGGAGGCAGGTTCCAGGGCCCCAGTGCTGAGGCCAGTGGGGATCTGCCTGGTGCCCTGGGGGCAGCTGGGAGCTGGGCTGTAGCTGGCAGCTCAGGGTGGGGCCTGGTGGAGACTCAGGTCCTTGCCCAGAGTGGGACAGGAGCCTTAGAGGTTGGAGCAGATGAGCCCATCTGCTAGGATTTCCTCTGGATCCTCTGGTCTTGGGTTGCGGATCTGCAGGGCACCAGGGAAAGCAGAGGACACTTGGGAACTTACAAAGATCCAGCCCAGAGGGACCAGGCCGTGCCATACTGTGTCTCCCTGTTGGACACCCTGCCAGTCCAGTGGGCAGGGCTGGGAGGCAATAGCCAAGGAGGCCTGGTGGGTTTCTGTGCTCAGCTGACCCTGGTCTCCATGGATCAGGCCGCCTGATCTTCACCAGAGGGAGCTGCTGATTTTTCCCTGTTTTTGCTCCCATTCACTGTGTCCTGTGCTGCAGGGAGGGCAGGGAGGAGGGGCCGGCCGCTCCTCACATGTGTCTCTCTCTTCCAGTTACATCCCAGCCGTGGTGGACCACCGTGGGGGCATGCCATGCATGGGGACCTTCCTCCTCCACCAGGTGTGAGCCCCTCCCAGCCCTACCCTGCCTGTGTCCCCTCCCCAACCTCTACCAGGTGTGAACCTCTCCCTGCCCCTACCCTGCCTGTGTCCCCTCCCCCACCTCCACCAGGTGTGAGCCTCTCCCTGCCCCTACCCTGCCTGTGTCCCGCTCCCCGACCCCAAGTGGCCCCCTGAGCCGTCTGATCATATCCTCTCACCTGGCACTGGCAGGGCATCCAGCGACGGATAACAGTGACACTGCTGCACGAGACAGGCAGCCATATCCGCTGGAAGGAAGTGCGCGAGCTGGTCGTGGGTGAGCACAGTGTGGGGGCTGCCTTGGAGGGTGGGGCCGAGCTGGTGGGAAGAGTACAGACCCTGAGCTGGATGCCTGGGTTCTAATCACACCTCTGCGTCTGTTGCTGCGTGACCCTGGCCAAGTCACGTAACCTCTCTGTGGGTCACTTCCTCTCCTGCAAAGGAGAGCCTTGGACCTGGGTGGCGATCTGCAAATTTCTATTCAATCAGTGTATTGGACTTCTGGGGCTCGCGTGACAACATGCCACAAACCAGGTAGCTTCAGACAGCTGACACTTATCATCTCACACTTCTGGAGACCAGAAGTCCAAAATCAAGGTTCCGGCAAGAGACACTCTCTCTGAAACCTGTTGGGGAAAATCCTTCCCAGCCTCTTCCAGCTCCTGGTGGTGGCCAGCATCTTGGGCGACCCTGGCCTGCAGACGCATCACTGCATTTTCACAGGCTTCTGCTGTCCTGTGTCTTGCTGTAGCCCTTTCTCCTAAGGACATCTGGCGGGTTGGATTAGAGGCCCATCCTGCTCCAGGGTTGACTGTATCTTTACTCAGCTTGATCACCTCTGCAAAGCCCTACTTCCAAATAAGGTCCCATTTGGACGTCCTGGAGGGTAGGACTTCCACGTATATTTTTCGGGGTCACAATTCCACCCATAATCATCACCAAAGATCTTACACTCTTTTCTTCCATGACCTCATGTTTTGAACTCGGGTCCACCAAATGTTTCCTTTGCTAAGGTGGAAAGAATTTGTCTTCTCAGTTTTCATTCAAGGAGGCAGACAGTCATCCATTCAGTGTGTCACTAGCATGAGGCCAGCCCAGCCCTGCCTTGCCCCAGACATTGCCATGGCCAGGCTGGGTGACCGCTCAAGGTGACTTCCCTGGGGCTGGAGCCGTCACCCTGTGTCCCAGTGCAGGACTGTAGACAGGAGGTTCCAGGCACACCAGGATACATGCTTATGTTTTACAAGTTTTGTGTCTAATTTCACATGAATCAGAAAGTCATGGAACGAGCACCCGAACCCTCCTTTCAGAGGTTGTTTAGGGCAAGCCTAAAAGAGTGAATTGATTTACAGGCAGAACGTTAGCAAATACACAGCTTATGGACCCGGCCACATGGTAGTTGAGGAACGATCCCTGGGGCACCACTGCCCCATATTCTGAGTCCTGGTCCCACTTCCCTCAAGGCAGACAGGAGAGAAGGAAGCGGGGAAGCTGGATCTGCATGGTTGAAAGGACGCATCCCCCGGGCCTCGGTCCGTCGCCCCTCAGACCCTGCCTGCTCAGATCCCACATTCTTCTCCCCACCTCCTTTCTAAAAATGCCAACAGGAGCGTCTGTTTATGTGGGGTGGGGGGATCAGGGATGCTATTTAAGGGGATTTGGGGAGATATAGTACGGACCCCAGTGCCCCTCTTCAGGCTAAGGGGTTTGGGCTCAGCCTCTCTGGGCTTCATGACTGAGCAGCCCTGTGATTGGACTCAGGGCAAAGAGCGGCCAAGTCACTTTCTGGGGAGCACCTAGCCTCTCTCCTGCTCCTCACCTGGGACCTGATCTCACTGTTCACAGCCTTCTCCGAGCTCAGCATCCCTCCCAAGAGGGCCATGGGACTTTCCAGCCCTGTGAGTTGGACAAGACTGTGGGCACGGGGTCAGTGAAAGGGATGAAAGTCAAGGAGAGACCCCAGGTGTCCATGAGCAGTGAGTGGGTGCACCCTTGGAGGCAGGGGAGGGAGTCGAGGTGCAGACAACAGAGGCTCAGGACCCCAGCCCAACCCCTGGCACTCTGCCCAGACCAATGGGCTCATGGGTGTCAGTTTTGTGGGCCAGGTACTTGGTCAGACTCAGAGCAGGCTGAACACCGCTCAAGTGCAGGCCCGGAGGGCTGAGAGTGGCTGCACTCCCCTCCCCGAGGGCTGGGAGTGGCTCTGCCCAGGCAGCAATCCCTGCAGCTGAGCTGCTTCTCTGCCATGGGTGCTGCCCCAGCATGGACCCAGAGGGCCCTGGCGTAGGGAAGGGCACTTTGCTGGGATCCACCTGCCTCCTCCCAGGACCAAGGTGCTGCAAGGTCATGGGTCGGAGTTCCAGCAATGGGCTGAGGCAGGCCCAGTGTGCACCTGTCAACACAAAATCCTAGCATGTCCTGGGTTTTGTCTTGTCCATGCGTGGTGGAGGAGAGGGAAGCCTGTCGTTCCTTCCTGATGCAACAAAGAAAATGTGCACATGTTTGTTTACTCCTTTGAATGAGCAGAACTGTCACTGTCTGGCCAAGAAATTACTAGGTGAAGCCACTAGGCAGTTTTCCTGCCTGATAACAGCTCTGGTGTCTTTCACAGAGACAGACAGACACCCCCAGTGCATACATCTTAGCAGGCTCTCCTGGAAATGCCCCTTGTAAGAAGAGGTTATATGGCACAGATAGTGTCCTCTCCTCTCCCCTCCCATCCCTCCCCTCCTCTGCTCTCCTTTCCCTGCCTCCCTCCTTCCCTCCCTCCCTCCCTTTCCTTGTTATTACCATTATTTTTAGGTGTAAGAAGAAGCAGGAACATTCCTCCTCTGTGTCTTGCTTAGCCTTCCTTTTCCAGCAGTCGGGAAGGCCTGTGGTTTCCAGGCTAAGCACCTGCATTTGTCAGTGTGTGTACGGGGGTGTTCACTGTGGCCGAGAGACAGACAAGAAAGACCGTGGAGCAGTAACTGCACATGGCCCCTGGGTCGCCGAGGACCCTGCAGGGCCTCCCTGTTCCCCCTGGCACCGCCTCTGACCAATGCTTTAGTGACCACGTGGGGAGCTGGCTTGCTGACAGCACCCTCACCTGAGGCAGCCAGCAGGGCCCAGGGTGCCCCCTGCCCCCTGGGAAGTGACCCGTGCCCCGTTGCCTTTTCTGCAGGCCGCATCCGAAACACTCCAGAGACTGACGAGTCCCTGATCGACCCCAACATCTTGTCTCTCAATATCCTCTCTTCCGGATACATTCACCCAGCCCAAGATGACCGGTGAGTCGGAGACTCCCTGGAGACAGGGCCCAGGGCATGTTCCCAGCCTGCGAGGCCCTCGGCCAACCCGGCACAGGGTCCAGCCACACAACGTGACCCGCTCAACGCTCTCCTGTCCCTCCCTCCTGGCACCTGCAGGAGCTGTGCGGTGAGGGGCTGGTGGCCTCTGCGCCCCCGACTCCTCGTTTGTGCACCCTGTCGCTGGTTCAGGCATCATCCCCATGCCCGTTTGTTCATCACCAAGCGGAGGGGCCAGCTCAGGGGCTGGAGGATGAGCTGAGTGCTGTCCTTGGGAGTTTCGTTGTTGGGTGGTGTGGGGACAAGTGGCTGTATATCCAAGGACCATGCTGCTGTGGGCAAGTCAGTGGCCTCTGGCAGGCGTCCTGGGGCTAGGGGTCGAGCAGCTGGGGTGGGGCGCCCACAGGCACTGCTTGGCACAGGCCCCTCACCACCAGGCTGCTCCTTTCTACACTCCCTTGCATGGCCAAGACCCCACAATCTGGGCGGTCCCAGTCCGACCTCATTTGGGCTGGGGGTTCGGCGCTCTGGGATGTCTGTGGCAGCTCTATCAGGGTCTGCTGGGGTTAGGGGATGGGAGAAGGAGGCAGCCCCTGCGGTTGGCCTGGGCAGGTGGCTCAGCACTACCAGGCACAGCCCTGGTGGGTGGGGATGTCCCTCGGGCTCCACTGCATCCCAGATGCTGCCTTCCAGGGGCTTGGGGAAAGTGGGGCGGGAGCTCCAGTGTCCAGTCCCGGCTGATCCCTGGGGGCTCGACCTGACTCATGATGCACAAACCCAGAGGGGACCCTCAGAGCTGGAGCCGCGGGTGTCTCCATGGCTGTGTTTGTAGGAAAACATCTTTGAGGGCCTCCCTGCAAGGAGAGTCAAGGTCATAAGGAAGGAGGGTGCTGGGGGGCGTCGTCTCCTATTCTTCTGACTTGGGTCCAGACAGAGCTTGGTTTCATCAGAAACACCCAGAAAGTGAGCTGTCAGGGCTTAGCACTGCAGTAAGGAGGGCACTGCAGGGGCAGCCAGGGCAGGGGACAGCTGGATAGTCAGGGTGGGCACAGCGCTGAATAGTAGTGGGTGGGGGTTGGACAGAGACCTGGGCAGGGCGGATGCAGCTCTGATCCCAGCTCTGCCTGTGGCCTTCCAGAGGGAACTTGCCCTGCAGTCATGTCCACAGGAGGGTGGAGAATTCGGGGGTGTTCTATGTGGAGGTGGCGCCATGATGGGGGGAACACGTCTGGGACAGGGGCAGGTGAGGCAGACCAGGTGGGATGGGTCGGGGCTTGGGGGCTTCCTCGTGCCTTGCTTCTCCTGCCACCATGAGAACGCTCCCTGGTGAGGCGTGGAGAAGGCCTGGAGCCCCCAGCACGGGCACTGCCTGCAGGGTGTGGGCTGCTGTCCCTGGGCTGTGGGGGACCAGGAACTGGAGTCGGGGGTGGGGCCCAGAAGGGCAGGTCTGCTATGTGAGATGTGCTTTGGATCCCGGGAGATGACCTCATTACCTGATTTTCCTGACCTCTGACCCTCCCTCAGCCCAGGCAGCTCCTGGGGTGGGGTGGGCAGGGCCTCCAGCCCCCCAACCCCACCTGCTATCTCCCTGCACAGAGGGCTGAGTTTCTGAGATCTTCCTCAGATCAGCTGCCGTGGGTGACATAGGAGGGAGCAGCTCATGGCTGGACCTCAGGCCCCTATTCCTGGAGGCCCGAGAACCTGTCACTGAAGGGGCTTTGGCCACACACCCGGAGGGCTGTGAGACATGGGGCCGGTCCCACGGTGCCTCTGGGGTTGGTGCAGTCCTGTGCTGGGGTCGTGGCCCTGGGTCTGAGAAAGGAGGAAGGCACGTTGCGTGGGCGTGGCCTCCCCGAAGCGGCTTTGGCCCTCGCTTGGCTCCTGCCCGTGCTGGCAGCTCCCTCCCCCAGCCCTGCCCTAGAGCAGTCTCGGGGACTGTCCTCTGCTGGCACCCCCAGGCAGGCACCATCCTGTGGCTTGGCTGACCAGGCCAGTGGGCCTTCCTGTGCCATGGACGGTGCTGGTGTCCTCAGCCCCGTGCGGGGCCGGGCTGCTCCAAGGCCTCTCTCTGCGACATGCGGAGGCTCAGGAGCCCCGGCTTCTGGCTCTGGCCTGGGGCCTCGGCCGCCCATGCGCTTTGCCATGGCCTTGCCTCCCACCTGCTCCCAGGCCCTGTGCTTTGCAGCCTCCCCGGTTCAGAGTGGGCCTGTGGCCACAGGCCGCTTCCCTCTGCCTGTCCCCTGCCCCGCTCCCGCTGCGCTGCCCGGCCCTCACTAACCGTGTGATTGTTTGTGTTTTGCAGGCAGTTTCTTGATTCGGACATACCTAGGTATCATCTGTGTCCCTTGGTTTCATTTCAGCCTCTTCTTTCCTCCCTGCTCCTCCCCTGACCGCCCCCCACACCCCTGAGAAGTTAACTTCTGGCTTCCTGGACTCCTCACACACGTGCTCACCTGTCCTCCTGTTCCTCCCGTCTTCTTTCTTTTTATTCTCTTGGAATCTTGGTTTGATTTATTTATTGCTTTCCCACCCCGTCCTCTTGGCTGAGTCCCTTCTTCCCCAACTCCTGATTCTGGCTGCTTTGTAGTTTCCTGCTCCCCAGTAGACACTGGCTGGCCTCCTGCTCCTCCTGCCCCAGCCTTGCCCGCCCCGCACCACACCTAGCCCTGTGGATGGGCGTGGCATCCCGCACGCTGCTGGCTGGCCCGCTGCCCTTGGCTGCACCACCCTGTGAGGACCAGCCCCACTCCCCTCTCCCTGCAAGGGGCCTTAGCAGGCAGAGCCGTGAGCACAGGGGATGGGGAAGGGCAGACAGGAGCCAGCCCAGGAGACCCTCACACTCCGGCACATTCCACAGCCTCTCGTGAGTCCCTCGCCTGGCCAGGCCAGGAGGAGGGACAGCGGCTCCAGCCACGCTCCTCTGGCTGTGGCCACCAAGCATCCTTTTGTGGAAGTGGCGGGTGGTGAATTCATTAAGAGACCAGAGAGTCCCAGACTCAGGTTGTCCAACAGATTCCCTTTTCCCCGGCTGCAGTGAGGCCCCCGCCCATGCCAGCCTGGGGCAGGGAGTCGGCGAGACCCTGGGGATGGAGGGCCTCCAAGTCCCTAATCCAGATACTGGTGAGAACTCGAGTCTGTTCCAAATGGAAAGTCAAGGCTGCCTGCTCCTGTGTCCCTGCATGACTGTGGCCAGCGTCACGGCAGTTATCCTGTGGGGTGGTGTCTGTGAAGTGAACTGAGCAGCAGAAGGCCTTTCAGACCAATGTTGGACCTTTAAGCCCTGCAGTCGGGAGGTGTGAGGCTGCTCCTGGCACAGAGGCCCAGGGCAGTGGGGCTTGGCCAGCACTTTCTGAGGCCACATCCTTGTCAGTTCATGTTGCTATGGGTCAGGACAGATGATTGACAACTGTGGCTAAGGGACTGTGGCCAGGAGAAGACTCTGCCCAGGGGTGGCAGGGCCAGAGTCCCCATTGGCATGGTCCCTTGAGCATGTGCACACACATCTCTTTCCATGAACAGATCTTTTCCGAAGGCTGCTGCACCAGCTCTCCCTGGGGACCTGGGTGCAGCAGAGACCCTGTCAAGCGACCCTGTGATGGTGGCTGCACTGAGGAGGGAGCACAGCCCTGCAGGGCCTGAGCGGGGCCTCCCTCTCCCTGCAGTGAGTCTGGCGGGCTTGCGGGAGGAGGAGACGGCATCTGGCTAGCTGGTCCTGGAGTCAGCTGGCCTGCCTCTGGGAGTTTCCCTATGCTCAGAAAGATCTGGGTTTGGGGAGCCCATCAGCTTGGGCTCTAATTTAGGAGCTGTTTTCTGGGCACGGGGAGGTTTCCGGCCCGTCAGTGTGATCTCATGGCAGGGATTGTCTGTATTTTGTTCAAGTTTGAGCTGTGCAGTGTTTAGGTCCCACACCCTCTGCACATTTGAGGGGATGCTCAGGCTGGTCCCAGACACCCCCAGGTATAAATAAACGTTAGCACCGCCGGGAAGGCTCCTGTAACGCAGGCAAACGGTGGCACTGTGGGAGGAGAGGAACTTTCCCTCCCTCGCCAGCCCCTGGGCTTTGGGGGCCCATGTACCTGTACCCGAGTGAGGGGTTGGGCCCTCTTGTGGCTGTTCCCCCATTCCAGAATGAGCTTGCTGGCCCACACCCCATGGGCAGCAGGCTTGGGACTTGGCCTGCGTAGACCTCAAGCTCAGGGCGTGAAGAGGGGAGGAGAGGGTGGTGTCAGAGTCCTGAGAATCAGACTTGAGCGTCCTTCCTGGGGCCCTGTTCTGCCAGGCTTGGTCTGCCAGACCGTGATGGGCAGTGCTGTGGACCAGCAGGTGGTGGGTGTGGTGCAGGACGTCTCATCCCAGACATCTGCAGTGGGCAAGGACCCTGGGGCTTACAGCGGAGGCATTTGCTGACTGTGTGGATGTGGATAGCAGGGGCTCTGGTAGAGCCTTGTTTCCATCCCCAAGAGTGAGGATGGTGATAGCCCCTGTGCTGAGCCGTGGTGTGAGGAGAGTTAGAGGATGCTGGGGAAGCGCTCGGTGAGGGCCGGCACCTGTCACTTTCTGCGTGTGAGTCACACTGTTGGCGTCACCACTGCCTAGCTGGCTGTCACTGTGAAACTCCGTGGTTCCTGAGCAAACGTGTCTCTTATCCCAGTCATTACCATTGTGCTCAGGGGGCCGCACTGGGAAGCTGTGGGTGTCTCTCATAAGCATGCGCACACGGAGTGCGGGGTGAAGACGGGGTGTATGTGACGTACTCCTTGTTTGTAGAGAGATTGGCTCCAACCTCCTACCCTGTATTCCTACATCTTACCCAGGGTCGTGTAGGCTGCCTGCCCCAGGGCCACAGGGGTTGACCTGCCTGAAGCAGCAGTCAACAGGGGCCTTCAAAGCCAGGGTGTCTCCCTGAGATGGTGACAAGGAGCCAGGGAGCAGCAGGACCCGTGGCCACCCTGGCCGCCCAGCAGCATGGGGCTCGTTTCTCCAGAGAAACGGTCCAGCTCTGATGTCCTGAGGCTTCTCCAGCCTTGTCGGGAAGGTCCAGCGGCAAACTCAGTCTCCCCTCTGTCCTTCCCTGCTGTGCCGTTGGTGGGGCTGCAACATTCATCCACACAGTCATTCATCTTTCACGTGTGCCTCAGCCACTCATGTGAGCCCACATCCTGTGGGATTAAAGGCAAAATCAGGAAAAGTCTGTCCAGGCAGGTCAGAGCCTGGCCAGGAAGCTCATTCACCCTCTCATCCCTCCCTCATCCCCTCATCCCTCCCTCATTCCCCCTCATCTCCTCATCTCTTCCTCATCCCCTCGTCCCTCCCTCATACCTTCATCCCTCCCTCATTCCCCCTCATCTTCTCATCTCTTCCTCATTCTCCCTCATCCCCTCATCCCTCCGTCATCCCCTCATCCCTCCCTCATTCCCCCTCATCTCCTCATCTCTTCCTCATTCTCCCTCATTCCCTCATCTCTCCCTCATTCCCTCATCCCTTCCTCATTCCCCTTCATCTCCTTATCTCTTCCTCATTCCTCCCTCATCCCCTCATCCCTCCCTCATCCCCTTATCCCTTCCTCATGCCCTCATCTCATCCCTTTCTCATAACCTCATCTCCCCTCATCCATTCCTCATCCCTTACTCTTCCCCATCCCCTCATCCCTCCCTCATCCCTCTGTCATCCGTCCCTCATCCCTCCCTCATCCCCTCATCCCTCCCTCATTCCCCCTTATTCCCTCATCTCTCCCTCATTCCTCCCTCATCCCTTCATCCCTCCCTCATCCCCTCATCCCTCCCTCATCCCCTCATCCCTCCCTCATCCCCTCATCTCTCCCTCATTCCTCTCTCATCCCCTCATCCCTCCCTCATCCCCTCATCCTCCCTCATCCCTTCCTCATATCCTCATCTCTCCCTCATCCATTCCTCATCCCTTATTCTTCCCCATCCCCTTATCCCTCCCTCATCCCCTCTCATCCCCCATCCCTCCCTCATTCCCCCTTATCCCCTCATCTCTCCCTCATTCCTCCCTCATCCCCTCATCCCTCCCTCATCCCCCCTTATCCCCTCATCTCTCCCTCATCCCTCCCTCATCCCCTCATCCCTCCCTCATTCCCCCTTATCCCCTCATTTCTCCCTCATTCCTCCCTCATCCCATTTCTCCCTCATCCCTTCCTCATATCCTCATCTCCCCCTCATCCATTCCTCATTCCTTATTCTTCCCCATCCCCTTATCCCTCCCTTATTCCTGCTTATCCCCTCATGCCTCCCTCATTTTCCCTCATCCTCTCATCTCTCCCTCATCCATCCCTCATCGCCTCTCATCCCCTTATCCCTCCTTCATCCCCTCATCCCTCCCTTATCCCCTCATTTCACCCTCTCTTCCCTCACCCCCGATCTCCTCATCCCCTTATTAGCTCCTCCGCTCATTTCCTCATCTCCTCCCTCCCTCATTCCCTCATCCTTCCCTGATCCCTCCCTCCTCCCCTTACCCCCTCATCCCTGCATTCCCTAATTCCCTCACCATCTCCTCCCCTTACCCCCAATTCATGCCTCCCTTCATTACCTCCACCCCTTTTCCCTTCATGTTTTCCTCCCCTCACTCCCTCACCCCTTAACCCCCTCATTTCCTCATCCCCTCCTCTCCTCATTCTCTCCTTCCCTGATCCCTTCCTCCCTTCATCTTTCCTCTCCTCATGCTTCATCCCCTCCTCCCTTCATGCCTCATCCCCTCCTCCCCTCATGCCTCATCTCCTCCACCCCTCATTCTCTCCTCCCTTCATCCTCTCCTGCCCTCCTCCCTCCTCCCCTCCTCCCAAATCCCTCATCCCTCATGCCCTCCTTCCCTCCTTTCGTTATCCCTCATTCCCTCCTCTTCTCATACCCTCTCCCTCATTCTCTCCTCCCTCCCTCCCCACTCCCTCCTCCCCTCCTCCCCTCATTCCCTTCTCCCCTCATCCCATCCTCTCCTAATCTCCCCTCCTGCCCTCATCCCTCCTCCCTCCTTCCCTCCTCCTTTCCTCCCCTTAAGCCTCCTCCCCTCATCCGTCATCCCCTCATCCATCATTCCCTCCTCTCCTCCTCCCCTCCTTCCTCATCTCCTCATCCCCTCCTCCCCTCCTTCCCTCATCCCTTACCCTCCAATCCCCATAGCAGGCACTAACCAAGCAGGCTGTGTCCTGGCCCTGTGGCACAGCAGTGATGGGGACTGCTGGTCCTCGTTCCGGAGCCAGAGTCCAGTGGAGGTGTCAGCCAGGGCAAGGGGACTGTGGGGATCTTCCCAGTGGGGAGGGCTCACCAGGAAAGAGTGAGCTTGCCTGAGCTGGGGGCACAAAAGCAGAGGTGGAGGGGAGAGTGGAAGAGGCCGAGCCCCTCACCTGGCACTGCCTCTGAGGCCAGATCTGGTCTAGGATTCTCCTTCTCTGAGGACAGCGACCTCCAGGGCCATGCTGTCCAGTGGAGGTGGTGGGGAGCAGTGACATGCTTGTTGTCTCCCAGCTGGCACGGCTTCAGGGGTGGCACACGGTTGGGGCGCCAGCTCTGGCTGTCAGTGGCTGCAGCCCAGTGCTGCTGGTGGAGCCCGGGGCCAGAGCCGCATCCGATGATGCTCAGAGTCCATGCATTCCTCAACCTGTGGGGACAGGATGCAGCTCTCTCCAGCTGCGCCCCCACCCCCTCCCTGCTTCTGTTGTGCCTGTGCCTGGCATCTGGCATGCCTGGCATGTGGCATGCCCACCATCCCAGCCCCTATGTCTAAGTCCTTGGTGGGCTTTGAAACCCAGCTGCAAGGGACCCTCCTCCAGGCAGGCTTCCGGACTCCACCCACTTCCTTCTGGCCTGCCTAGCTGTAAAATCTCTCCTGTCTCTGTGTGGATCTACTGCAGATTTGCCCCCAGGCCAGGTTTCGAACTCTCAAGGGCACCGTCAGGCTTCCCAGTTGTACATTTCCCCACAGGACAGAGCCCAGGGGCAGGGCTCAGTCAGGCGAGGAGGGAGCCTGCAACTGCCCTCAGGGGGTTGGGAGAGTGGGGCCAGCATTGACCAGGACTCAGGCTGGAGGTGGAGAGGCTACAGAGCTGGCTTAGGCTGTGGCCCTCAGGGGTGCCTGGCCCAGCCTGCTCCAATTGGCTGGGCCCTGTGCGAATGCTGCTTCCAGCTTTCATCCCAGAGACGGACTTGGGCTGCCTGTGTTCTCTGCTCCTTTCTTGGACTTCTTGGTGGGTGGTGCCACATGACTGTGTTGTGTCACGTCCAGATCCTGTGAACCGTATCCCTGAGGTCGGGGTTCAAGCACAAGCCCCTGCTTTTAGCTGTGTGTTCACATTGGATCAAGTCTCCTGCTGGGATCATGTTCCCCACGGGTGAGGAGGGTCTGCCCTGGCTGCCATCTGTGGCCTCAGCCTGGTGGATCACCTCCCTGGAGAACCTGGGCCTCCACATCCGGGCTGCATGTTTCCTCTTGTGATGATTCTGAGGGTTTGGCAGCTGTCACGTGGCATAGAGTGAGGGGGGCTTCAGGGGACAGGGCCTGGGGCAACCTCGTGCCCGCTTCTGGAGTGGGGGTCCTGGAGTGGTCTCCAAGGCCCTCCCAGCCCACATCCTGCAGTTTTTGCCATGGCAGGGTGATCTTGGCCACCTCTCAGCCTTCCTGCGTCTTGGTTTCCTGCTGTATGATCGCGGGGCACCTGTCAGTGGTTCCCATGCTGTGCCCTGCAAGCTTGGGGGGCCCCAGCTGGCAGTGCGGGTCCCATGTGTGTCCTGTGTGGGTGAGCTGCTACTCTGCCAGCCTGCTCCACTCCCATCCACCAGCCGTTGTCCCCTCTAATCTCACTTGGGATCTGGGTAAGACCTGTCCTCCTTCTGTAGAGGCTTGAGGGGAGTAGGGGGAGTAAAGAATGTTGCCAGGGACCCTCCTGGCCTGAGATTCCAGCATCTGCTGCCCGTGACCTGGTGGAGCCAGGCAGGATGTGGGTCAAGGGCTGGTTGAGAGGCATTTTGGGTGCAGCTCCCCTGGGCAGAGTGGGAGGCCTCTGGGGCTGACCAGCAGTTTGGAAATGACCTAAGGGTAGCACCATGGCTGTACCCATGTCAGACCCTGGTCCGGCTGGCCATCTTGGCACCTGGGGGATGGGACAGTGGTATGGGAAGACCCTGTCCCTGCTGTGCACAGAGTCCTATAAGGCCCCCTCCCACCATTCTCTCCCCAGCTCACATGTGAGACTCCACCACAGTCAGGTTCTCAGAGAGATTCTAGTCCACTGGGGTCTGAGCAGGGCAGAGCCACATGCTACCTGGACTGAGAAATTCTCTGCTAGGACCGTCGGGGGGTTGTGGGCCTCATGTGGAAGTGGGTTCATGTTCTACTTACAGCCCCAGGCCTGGCTCCAGCAGAGTCCACTTGCTCTAAGGAGCAACCCCTGGCTGAGCCTTGGGGTCCTGCCTGCCTCGCTGGGCTTGTTCCTTTGCTGTGTCCCACTTGGGGGCCAAGGAGCCCCAGGATGGGGCAGGGACATGGTTCCTGATGACTGAGGAGTGCCTGGGCTGGGAGGACCTGGTGCTTTCTGAAGGGTGCACAGAAGGGAGTAGGTGCTGATGCTGGAAAAGACCTGCTGGTTCTGATCCTGGGGCCAAGGGGTGAGGGATGGGTGGGCTGTGTCTGCACACAGAGACGGAAGAGAAGGAAGGGGAAGAGAAGCAAGCTGAGGCCCTTTAGGGACTTTGGAGGCAGAAGATAGAGGGTCCAGCACGGGACCGACTGCTTGGGCCCAGCAGGAGAGACAGAGCTGGTGGGAACTGCAGGTTGGGCCTTACCCAGTGCATAGAGGTAACGAGGATGATAGCAATGCTAGAATGTACTAGATAGTGACGTGTACCAGATAGCGACGCTGACGTGTACCGGATAGCGATGCTGACGTGTACCGGATAGCGAGACGTGTACCGGATAGCGACGCTGACGTGTACCGGATAGCGACGCTGACGTGTACCGGTACCAGGTAGCGATGCTGACGTGTACCAGATAGTGAAGATAGCGACGCTGACGTGTACCGGATAGCGACGCTGACGTGTACCAGGTAGCGATGCTGACGTGTACCAGATAGTGAAGATAGCGATGCTGACGTGTACCAGATAGTGAAGATAGCGATGCTGACGTGTACCAGATAGTGAAGATAGCGACGCTGACGTGTACCAGATAGTGAAGATAGCGACGCTGACGTGTACCAGATAGTGAAGATAGCGATGCTGACATGTGCCAGCTCCAGGTTGTGTTCTCATCGTGCTCAAGTATTAGCTCATTTAATCTGCAAGACATCTTGAGGTAGGGGCAATTACTGCCCCATGGTACTTGCAAGGAAATGGGGCACAGAGCTGTTGGTGACATCCCGAGGCCATGCAGCTGTGAAGTGGCTCTGTGGTGTTCCAGGCGGTCTGAGGCGCTTGTTCCGGGCCAGGCTGCAGTGGCTCCAGCCCTGGCCTGCAGCCCAGACCCTCCACAGGATCCCGCAATGTTCCAGGAGAGGAGCAAATCCCTCCAGGCCTTTGTCCTGGCTCCCAGGCATCCATCTGGTCCGACTGAGGACAGACGCAAGGTTCTCACTGCAGACCCCAGGGAAGGGGGTGTCTGCAGGGCCAGGGCCAGGGGCCCCACGTGGGGCTTGCACCCCAGCCCTGTGTGCAGCGAGAGCTTGGGGGCCGTGAGATCCAGTGTGTGTCTGCAGAGCTCCTAAGTTTTCTGCCCTGGGTCTTGTGCCGGTGCTTGTTCTGACGTCTCCATTTCTTCTGTGTGTGTACGTGTGTGTCCTGGCTGCCTCCACCTTTAGCGTTTCATTGGGAAATGACACTAGGTACAGCTCACTTTTTTCTTCCGCCCTTGCTTGGTCTGTCCTCTTCTGCTCTTCCGAGTTCCTTTCTCCTCGGCGTCTGCCTGCTTCTACGCCCTTTCTCTGACCACCCACTGTCCTCACTCTCCCGGGATTGCTCCTCCGTGACGTGTGTCCGACAGCAGCCCTCCCTGGTCCCTGCTTCCTTCCACACCCCCGACTTGTGAGACCCGTGCCCTGCATCCCAGACCATGCTGTGTAGTAGACAGGGCAGCCTGGTGCCACCTGGGCTCCACCGCGGTCTCTGGAGGGGCCCGGCCGCCTTGGAGCCTGCGTGGCCGCCCAGCTGTGTGTGTTGATGTCTCTGAACTGTGTCCTTGTGAGGATGCTTGGAGGGGAGCTGGGCGAGGCTGGGCGGGTGGTGGGTGGGGGAGCTGAACCTGCTGCTCAGGGTCTGCAGAGTGGCCACACTCTGGATTCAGGCAAATTGTCTACCTTGGCTGTGATCAGTCCTCCCTGTGAGCACCAGGCCTGAGGAAGGAGTTCAGTCACTCCGCCATCCAGAGGGCTGCAAACAGGAACTCTCACGTGACAGAAAACCCTGTTCCAGAGTAGAGGGCACCCGAGGCGTTTGCGGAACACAGTTCAACCCCATGGGGATGTACAATCCCAGGCCCCTGGGGTTGGCCCTGAGCCACCCTGGGACAGGGTTAGCGGGCAGCTGGCTCAGGCTGTGCTCACCATAACTCCAGGTTGGAGATCAGGGACACAGCGAGGCCGCCGCTGTCTCCCTCGTGCTAACAGAGAGACACTCTTGCACACGGCCTCGTGGCAGCCGCCCTGCCTCCATGCCAAGCATCCTCCCCCCGGGGCCTTCCTCTGCCCGATGGACCAAGGGTGAGTCCATTGTCAGAGGAGATGGACCATGGAGGTTTTTGTCAAACCCGGGCAGGTCCCCTTCAGGTCCAGGGAGAGATGGTGGTGCCTCCTTACTCAGACTGAGGCTGGGGTGGGCCCGGTGCAAGCTCTGCCTTCTCCCTCCCTGCCTCTGTCCTTCCTCTCTTCTCTGCCCGAGTCCTCTCCTCCTGCCCTCCCCTCTCTCTTCCCTGTGTTCCCCACGTCCCAGCTCCCTGTCCTGCCTCCCTCTTCCCTTCCCTCTCTGCCCTTCTTGTTCTCATTCCCTGCTGCCTCCTCTCCTTCCAGCCTCAGCATGACAGCTGGGGCACCATTTGTGGTAGAGCTGGGAAAATGCTGGGCTCGCCCCCATCAGGGCGTCTAACAGACGCTACTCTCTGGGTCCTGAGTAAGGAGGGACCCGTCTTTCCTGGTACCGCTGCCCGGGCTTCCAGCCTGTGCCCCCGGCCGCTCCCTTGCGGCTGCCCCACGTCTGTCACTCTGTCTGTCTGCATGTCCCCGACCTGGCTGAGAGCAGCCCCCATGCCATCAACTTCTACTTCATCTCTGCTTCCTTTCAGGACCTTTTACCAATTTGAGGCTGCGTGGGACAGCTCCATGCACAACTCTCTCCTGCTGAACCGGGTCACCCCTTACCGAGAGAAAATCTACATGACGCTCTCTGCTTATATCGAGGCAAGGCACCTATGCCAGGGCACGCCACCAAAACCACCCAGACCCGAAGCTTGAGGTTCTTGTAAGCTCTGGACAACCCCGATGACCCAGATGACTTCTCAAGTTCTCAAGTTCCTGGGTTAAATTCATGTGCCTTTTTGGAAAAAAACAAAACAAAACAAAACAAAACTGGACTCTGCAAGGTTGAATACAGAAATCCATGTGCATTTTTTTTTTTTTTTTTTGAGACAGTCTCACTCTTGTCGCCCAGGCTGGAGTGCAGTGGCGCAGTTTCACTGCAACCTCCTCTTCCCGGGTTCAAGCGATTCTCCTGCGTTAGCCTCCCAAGTAGCTGGGATTACAGGTGCCCACCACCACTCCCGGCTAGTGTTTGAATTTTTAGTAGAGATGGGGTTTTGCCATGCTGGCCAGGCTGTTCTCAAACTCCTGACCTCAGGTGATCCACCCACCTCGGCCTCCCAAAGTGCTGGGATTACAGGCGTGAGCCACCGCGCCCGGTCTCCGTGTGCTTTGAATGGCAGTTAACTCACTCTGCTAAACTTAGTGTGTGGGTGTTGTCCTTGGGATGCAAGATGGCTGCAGCACCACCAGACATTGTGTCTGCGTTCCGGGCAGCACAGAAACAGAAGTGTCCCATCCCCACGGCCCCCCAGGAGTCTGCAGTCCACAGGCTGTGGCCAGACCTGGGCTGTGGCCTCCCTTCCAAGTGCAAGAGGCAACTGGAAGTGTGGGCGTTTGTTGCTAGTCATCGTAGTGAGGGAGAGGGAGGATGGGGAGCAGTGGGTGGGGGCATCTGCAAGCACATCCCCTCTCCTTAGTTAGAGCCAAATTATTCCGGCTTCACATGGGGATGGCATGACCATCTCACCAGACGGTGGTGAGGTTGTGCTGAGGAGATGTTGGCAGAGCTCTTCCCAGCGAGTGCTTAGGACTCTTCAGCTGGGCATAGCAACTGCCCCCACTTCAGGAAGACACAGGGGCCAGCTGTTTAGCAGTCACCGTGTCACCCACCAGGAAGTCGTTTTCTGTAGTGTTTGAGTTAAAATGCGCGTGTTCAAACAAGACCTGGTTTGATCCTCACAGACATTCCAAGGTCGGGGAGGGTGTCACCCCAATTTTTTTGTTTTTTTGGTTTTTTTTTTGAGACAGAGTCTCGCTCTGTCACCCAGGCTGGAGTGCAGTGGCTGGATCTTGGCTCCACTGCAACCTCTGCCTCCCAGGTTTACACCATTCTCCTGCCTCAGCCTCCCAAGTAGCTGGGACTACAGGCACCCGCCACCTCGCCCGGCTAGGTTTTTGTATTTTTAGTAGAGACGGGGTTTCACCGTGTTAGCCAGGATGGTCTCAATCTCCTGACATCGTGATCTGCCCGTCTCAGCCTCCCAAAGTGCTGGGATTATAGGCTTGAGCCACCGCACCCGGCCTGTGTCGCCCCAATTTTATGGTGAGGCAGCTGAGGCCCGAGCAGTGAGCCTGTGCCTGGGACCCTCGGGGTCCCACACGTGGAGACCAGTCCCTCACGTAGCCCAGGCGTGCACAGGGCTGTGGCTGCCTGTCACATGGAGACCAGTTCCTCGTGTCGCCCAGGCGTGGACAGGGCTGTGGCTGCCTGTCACGTGGAGACCAGTTCCTCGTGTCGCCCAGGCGTGGACAGGGCTGTGGCTGCCTGTTCCCAGTGGGGTTTGACTCCAGGGCAGGAGCAGAGACTTTCTCCTGCCTGGGTCCGGGCCACACCTGAGACCCTGGGAAGACCCTGGGGCTGCCCGTTGGTGCTGGGCATTGTGCCCCAGGAGAAGGCTGGAAGGGCACCTGGGCACTTGGGGTGTCCTTGTGCCTGAGCCTCGCCCCCTGTCTGTCTCAGATGGAGAACTGCACCCAGCCAGCCGTCATCACCAAGGACTTCTGCATGGTCTTCTATTCCCGCGACGCCAAGCTGCCAGCCTCACGCTCCATCCGCAACCTCTTTGGCAGTGGGAGCCTTCGGGCCTCGGAGAGGTAAGCCCCTGGGGTGAGGGCCACAGGGACTCCCACCCTGGTCTCGGTGCAGGCCAGGCGGGGCTCTGCCTGGCAGCGGTCCTTGGGCCACCTGGCAGCTCACCCTGTGCAAGGCCCGGCCACACTCCTGGCTGGCTCCCTGTGCTCAGTCCCCTCCTGCTCACCCCAGATGGAGACTCCGTGGAGGCCACGGTTCCTGCAGGGTACACCGACACCTGTATGAGGGACTTGAGGGCCAGCCTGCGGGGGACGGGAGGAGGGGCAGGCAGTCTCACTGCAACCTCCGCAGTGGTGATCCTGGGGCCACACCGTGCCCCACTGCCGGTGACCGTCTTCCCTGGGGACCACAGGAACCTATGCCATGGGACTGCCCATAAGGCACTGAAGGAGAAGCTGGATACATGGGCGGTGCCTGGAAGGGGGCTCTGGACACAGTTTCCCACAGAACGTGCTGGGTGGCTCTTCTTGGAGGCTGTTGGCACCTTGGGGAGCCAGAAACCAAACACCGGGACCAGCCGTGCTTGCGTGCTGACCACGTCATTGCGTGCTGACCACGTCATTGCGTGCTGACCACGTCCTTGCATTCTTGGGGGTGGGGGAGAATGAGCCAGAATGTCAGGGCCCTGACAGCAGGGCCGCCGAGGCTACCGGGCACCCATGGCTACCTTCAGTGGGTCTACCCATGGTCTGCCACATGGACCTGGTATCCAGGTTCACACTGGGCACAGCTGGGAGGAAAGAGCTTGGGGGTCAGGACCCAGTGTCCTCGAGGGCTGACTGTGGTCGTTCTGGAGGTCACTCAGTAATTGTGCAATACTGCCAACCTGTCTGTGGGTGGGTGACCGCGGTACTCTCAGAATCTGTCCTGGGCACAGTGGGGCTGCTCTGTGGGGTTTAGGGCCTGGGGCTCTCGATGCCCTGGAGGGACTGGAGATGCCAGATGCTGTGCTCATGCTGCCTGTGTCTCCCCTGGGCTGGGACAAAGCGGAAGCTGCTGTGGGGGCAGGTCACAGCCCCATGGGCACCTGAGCAAGACCAGTCAATACATCTTTTCTCTGGGGGCCGGAGGGGGTCTGGGATGAGGACTCTGAACAGGGGCTGTAGCTCAGGGACCCCGATGCCCACCACCCCAGCCAGGCTGAATGTGTGGTTGATAGTGGGGAAAGTCAGCAGCCAGGTGGGCTGTGTATCCCCACTGCGGGGCCTGGTGACCACGTGTCACTCCTTCTACTCCCTGCAGTAACCGTGTGACCGGCGTGTACGAGCTCAGCCTGTGCCACGTGGCTGACGCGGGCAGCCCAGGTAGGTATCTGCCCTGCTCTCACTGGGTGGGTTCCTGGCCTGTTCGACCTCTTCCCACTCGGGGTGACCACAGCTAAGCTGCCATTTGCAGGGGGATCCCTCACAGAACACAGGCACTCACCTTGTGGCTTCTGGAGTTGTTCTGAGATGGGAGGAGAGTGAGGGAGGAGAGTCAGGCCTGCTGGCTTCCTCGGGTTCCCAAGGCACAGCCGAGATGGCCACGGGACGCCGGGCTGGATAACTTCCTCTGGAGGGGGCCTGCATGGCTCTTTGGGCCCCAGGGTGGACCAAGGACCAGGGGAAACTCATCTTCACCCCAGAGGGGAGGCAGTTTCAGAGGTGGGCGGACCTCTAGGGTGGGTGGGAGGAGCAGCCGCCCATCAGGTCGGGATGAGGTGTCCGCATCCTCCGTCCAGGGATGCAGCGCCGGCGCCGGCGAGTCCTGGACACATCCGTGGCCTACGTCCGGGGCGAGGAGAACCTGGCGGGCTGGAGGCCCCGGAGCGACAGCCTCATTCTGGACCACCAGTGGGAGCTGGAGAAGCTGAGCCTCCTGCAGGAGGTGAGGCAGCCCCAGAGGATGAGGCCTGCACGGTCGTGTCCACGTGGCTTTGTCTGCAGAGCGAAAATGGGAGAGGGCCCAGTGCCTGGTGCCCGCTGGGGGGGCAGCACAGCCTGTCGGGAGTCACAGCCACCTGCAGGAGGAGCATGTGACGCTCCAGTGTGCACCGCGGGGCTATGTGGGCGTGACAGAAACACGGCCAGTGTAGCGCAGAGGCATGCTCTGTAGTTAGCCGAGGGAGACTCTCAGGCATATAGACAGAGGCCAGAAAGGGACCCGGAAGGAAAGTCACAGGGCCGGGCTGCCCTCTGTGGCTTTGATCAGGGAAACCAATATGCAGCATCTAGGCACTGCCTCGGGCCGTGTGTGTGACACATGACATGTGACGTGTGAGATGCGTGAGGCCAGTACTGTGCCCACCCCTCAGCCCTCTCCCGAGGCCTCCAGCACTGCAGGGCAGCACAGCCCTGCCCCACAGCCTGGCACGTGAGATGCATGTGTCCAAGAGGGAGCAGCTTGCTTGCTGGCCATGAAGGCGTCAGGGCTGGGGTGGGGGCTGAGTGCTGTCAGCCCTGGAGCGCCAGGATCTGTTCCCTCATTTCACAGCTGAGGGCCATCAGTCTCCAGTCTTAGCCCAGGGGAAGGGGGGGCTCTCCAGGGGTCTGCCCACAGGGTCATGCTGCTGCTGAGGCTGAGCCCAGCTCCAGAGGTCGCCCCTGAGGTGCAGCAGGTAAGGCCTTGTGTCCTGTCTGAAGGTGGAGAAGACCAGGCACTACCTGCTCCTGCGGGAGAAGCTGGAGACCACCCAGAGGCCTGTCCCAGAGGCACTGTCCCCGGCCTTCAGCGAGGACTCTGAGTCCCACGGCTCCTCCAGTGCCTCCTCTCCGCTCTCGACTGAGGGCCGCCCATCACCTCTGGAGGCTCCCAGCGAGAGGCAGCGGGAGCTGGCTGTCAAGGTGGGTCCAGCTGGTGGGCAGCACAGCCGTAGTCCCAGGCCCTCAAGGGCCCTGAGTCATTCCTGGGCAACTCCAGCAACCCAGCCTTGCCCATGGCTGCTCTGGTTAGCACCACAAGGAGCTAGGAGCTCGAAGGGTCCCTGGGGTCCCCTTGCCCGCTGATTCTACCTACACTGAAAGTTGGGTGCCTTTTGCAGCCTCCCTTCCCAAGTGATGATTCGCTGTCTCTTGAATACCTGTGCTGATGGGGAGCTGACCACTTCCACCCACAAGTGGCTCTTTTGGCGGCTTAACGGGCCTCTGGGAAGGCCTCCTGTACTGGAGGCAGCACTGCCTCTGGCCCTCACACCAGGCCCTGAGCCTGAGCCTGACCCTGGGAGGCTTCCTGGGCTCACCCAATGACGGGCGGGGTGGAGGTGCTGTCCACCTTGATCCACTGTGCTGTGGTGTCGGAACCCACCTGTGTCTGGGGAAGGGTGGGTAGAAGAGCCTGCAAGGCTGGCTGAGCAGCATCCCAGGAGGCCTGGCCCCTGACCACGTGTGTGCTCTGTCCACAGTGCTTGCGCCTGCTCACGCACACGTTCAACAGAGAGTACACACACAGCCACGTCTGCGTCAGTGCCAGCGAGAGCAAGGTGCGTGTGGAGGGGCTGCACCAGGCTGCCCTGTGGGGCTGGGGCCCCCATAGGCAGTGGTCCCTGAGGAAAACTCCCATTCTGAGTGGGAAAAGGCAGTGAAGAGTTTCCTAGGAACACATCTCAGTGCACAGAGACACCTCATAGCTAAGTGGCTGGTTTCCCTGGGTCGGCCTGGAGTCCATGGGAGGTGGGGACATGAGTGAGGGGCCGGGTGGGTCCTGTGACCTGGGACGCACCCACATGCTTGCAGGCTTCTGCTGTTTTCCTGGCCCCCACCCTGTCTGGCCGTCACACTGTGTCCTCTGGCCAAGCCCCCACTTGGCTGTCCCTCCTCCTCCTGGGACCGACCCCACCCCTATAACCTGGGAAATTGCCACTGTGCTGCATCCAGCCCCGGCCCACGGCCTTCCTTGCCCCCATGGCATCACCCAGCGCCACCTCATGCTGGCACGAGCAGGAGGCAGCAGGGCAGAGCTTAACCAGCCCACTCCTCGAGGCATTGGCGGGGTGGCTGCCTGGGTCAGGTCAGAGCCTGAAGTGCTGGGAGGGGCTGGCCAGGGGCCGCAGGGGCTGAAGGGGGCCAGGGGTCTTGAGCTGGCCAACTTTGAGCCAAGGCTGCTGGTAGGAGGGGTGGGGTGCCCTGAGCGGCAGGTGTGGGGTAAACGCAGGCACAGGGAGCAGCACCTGCGGAGGCCGGAGACCCCACTTCCCTGTGTCCCCTGAAAAATGCCTTCTGTCCTCCGCAGCTCTCTGAGATGTCTGTCACCCTGCTCCGGGACCCGTCAATGTCCCCTCTAGGGGCAGCCACTCTCACCCCCTCCTCCACTTGCCCCTCTCTGGTTGAAGGGCGGTACGGTGCCACTGACCTGAGGTGAGTGAGCTCTAGGCTCCCGGAGAGGCTTCCGGCACCACGGCCGACCCATGGCAATGGCCGTGACTCGGGCACGGGGAGCACAGAACGGGGGGCCCCAACGGCCAAGTGTCTCGGGACGGCCGCAGGCTGAGGGAAGGGCCTGGAGAAGTGGAGTCTGCAGCCCTCTCAGAGGGCACCTGTGCCCTGCCAGCTCCATCCTAGTGTGTGTGTTCTCTTCCCTGAAGAAGACCAGAAATGCCTGGAAAACAAGCTAAAGCTCCCTTTTCCTGAGAAAGTGCTTATAAAATAATGGAAAAAGAGAAGGTTATGAAAGAGGGCGTGAGCGCTGTTAGGGTCAGTATTGCAGAGGGAACACCTGGCCCCTGCAGGTCCACATCTGGAAGAGACCCCATGTGGACCCCTTATGTCCGATTCATAAGCCGGAAGATGGTTTTCACTCTTGTTTTAAAATGCCTTAAGGGTTCCAAATTTTCGCTTAAAAAAGAAAGACAGTGGCATCAGCTGGCCTTGTCTTCTGCAGGCCTCCTTGACCACCAGGTCAAGTCGTGTGGGGCCTGGCCCATGTGGGGGGCCCATACGGGAGGCCAGCTGTGCCCTCTGCTCCAGTGGCTCCTTAGAACCTCGTGTCACCTTCAGTCTAACTGTGGAGATAAAGAGATGCTGGACTTGCTTTCACAGGGTGGAGGTGGGGGCAGGAGAGCCACTGGGAGAAGGGCATGGAGTGGGGCACAGGCTCCCTGGCTGGAGCCCTGAGGTTCCTGGGGAACCCTCCCCACCAAGCCCAGCACTTCCTGGAATCGGGCACAAGCTTGGCTGTCCTGGTGGATGGGCCCCGGGAGCTTCCACTGTGGGCACAGCTGGGGAGACCCCACGAAGGTGCCCTACTGCGACTCTGAGGAGGGTGAAGCCTGGGGGGAGATGGCCCTAGGCCCAGGGAGGCCTGCAGTGTGCAGCACTGCCCTCTACTTCCCAGGACCCCACAGCCCTGCTCCCGGCCAGCCAGTCCAGAGCCTGAGCTGCTGCCAGAGACCGACTCCAAGAAGCTCCCTTCCCCTGCCCGGGCAACAGAGGCAGACAAGGAGCCCCAGCGCTTGCTGGTCCCTGACATCCAGGAGATCCGAGTCAGGTGTGTAGGGCCTCCCTGGAAAGCACCGCCACCAGCTCTGTGCTGACAGGGGACAGGCAGGCCACGCTGATCCCCATACTGGGGGCGCAGGTCCCAAGTATGGGACCCTCATACAACAGGCAGGTTGCCCGACCCCTATACTGGAGGTTCAGGCAGGCTGCCCCTAACCCACATGCAGGGGCAGCTCCATGCTGGGAGGTCAGGCAGGCCCCTGGGACCCACATGCCTGGGCTGGGAACCAGCACAGAGCACAGGGGAGTGGGTGGGGTCAGAGCCAAGGCCCAGGTGGGGAACTCGTGGTCACGGGGCACGTGTGGCAGCCTTGCAGCAACTTTAGCTTTTTTCTTTAAGGTTTTCCATTTTATGGGGGAAACTGAGGCCCAGAGCTGGGTGGGTGGTCTGGTCTCCGGCCTGCTAGGTCGGGGTTCTGCCAGGCACCCTTCGATGCCTCAACCCACTTTCTGGCTGGGGAGGTGGGTGGCACTGCTGCGTCCCAGCTCTGGGTGGTGGGCAGTGAGTGCCCAAGTCAGCCGCCACCCCCACCGAGGGCCCCAGCGAGCAGCTCTCTGCCCTCAGCCCGATCGTCTCCAAGAAGGGGTACCTGCATTTCCTGGAGCCGCACACGTCGGGCTGGGCCAGGCGCTTCGTGGTGGTGCGGCGCCCCTACGCCTACATGTACAACAGCGACAAGGACACCGTGGAGCGGTTCGTGCTCAACCTGGCCACCGCCCAGGTGGAGTACAGCGAAGACCAGCAGGCTATGCTCAAGGTGCGGCTGGACCCGGCTCAGGCTCAGGCACTGGGAACCCCAGCAGGGCGGGAGCTGAGCCGCCGCCCTCTGCAGCCCTGCGTTGGAGCAGGAGGCCCTTCTGCTCACCCCAGACTCTGGCCCTCCGTCCTGTTCCACCGAGGCCGGGCTCAGGGACTCAGCCTCATGCTCCTGGCGACAGCTAGTGGGGATGGGCTCCGGTCAGGGCAAGCATTAGTATTCTCCTGTGTGATGGCCGCAGCCATGTCCCCTCCTCTGGAGTCACCCAAGGTGGTGGCACCAGCCCTGCAGAAATCACAGGGCTCAAAGGAGCCCTCCTACCCCCACTCTGCCCGGCCCCTCCCGCTGGAATGGCCCTGGACAAGTTCAGGAGCCCGGACTCCTTCAGGCTGGCCAGAGGAGAAGTTTCTCTGAGCCATCTGGAGGTGGCCCCAGTGTCTACGAGATGGTTTTTTGATTCCCTGTGGTGGAGGTGGGCGGTGTGGACCCACATCTGGACCAGCAACCCAGCCAGGGTCCCAGAGAGCAGGGGCCATGTGAGGCAGGCACGTCCCGTGGGGATGCAGAGCAGTGGTGAGGGTGTCCTGGGACCACCGGCTGCAGACACGTCCAGAAGACAGTCACAGCCCTGGCTGGGTCAGCCTTTCCCTCTGTGTCCCCTCCCTGGGACCTTCCTGGCGGTGCCCCTTCCCTGCCTGCCTGGGCCCTGGGGAGCAGGAGGGTGGTGTGCTGACCACACGGCCTGGCAGCTCCTCACCAGCAACCTCCCTCTGCAGACACCCAACACGTTCGCGGTGTGCACGGAACACCGTGGCATCCTGCTGCAGGCCGCCAGTGACAAGGACATGCACGACTGGCTGTACGCCTTCAACCCCCTCCTGGCCGGAACCATACGGTAGGGCTGCCTGCAGGGCGAGGTTGCTCCCACGGGGGTCCTGCCCTCAATCCCCTCCTGGCCAGGACCATTTGGTAGGGCCCGGCTGCGGGACAAGACTGCTCTCCCGGGGTCCTGCCCTCAATCCCCTCCTGGCGGGGACCATTCAGTAGGGCCGGCCGCAGGGTGTGGTTGCTCTGCCGGGGGTCCTGCCCGCAAGGCCGCCTGGGGAAGCAGTGCGGCCAGGGGACGGCGGGGTGGCCTGCCCTCACTTGTGTGGGCTGGGGACACCCTTAGGGCTGTTAACAGTCCCTGAGTCGTGGCTTCTTGTGGAGTGATAAATCCCAGGCCATACTTTCAAAATTACTTCCTCACCCAGTGGCCTTGGCGTGGGGAAATCGTGTGCCCTGAGGCAGGCTGTGGAAGGAGCCAGTCCCTCCCACAGCAGGGATATGTAAAGCAGGGTGCAGGAGGGGACGGGTGGGCTGAGTCCTACACACTGGAAGCAGAGATTCAGTCCCTTCCCCAGGTGGTGAGGGAACCAGTGGGGACATGGGGTCTGTGGCTGCCCGTCATGGCTGCCTGCCTGCGGAGGGTGTGGTGGATGTGGCCTGCAGGTGTTCCTGGGCTGACCACGCCGCCTCTCCCAACTCTCCTGCAGGTCCAAGCTCTCCAGAAGGAGGTCTGCCCAGATGCGGGTCTGAACCCGAGCCCTCCCATGACAGCCAGCAAGCCCAGCCCATCCCCACCCTTGTCCTCGTCTGTCCTGTCACCTGCCACCTGGCCCCTCTCCTGCCAGACAGCCCACGACCGGGTCGACCCCCCAGGGGACACCCATGCCAGGCCCGGGGACCTGTGCCACACGACCAGCTGTGCTCCCAGCAGAGGCCGCGCGTGTCGGTTCTTCTTGTGTAATGTGCTCTGGTGGAACAAGCTGGGAGGGGCTGGGGGGGCCAAGGGCACAGGTCACGGGGTTCTTGCTGCCGTTCTAATATTTTTTTAAGCATAGACAGACTTATAATTAATATACGTTAGTTAGTGACATTGAAACGGTCAACTCGGAAATTAACTATAAGACTTGTTCTATTTATAAGTATTTATTTCTAATGCCTCCACATAGCCCTGTAATATTCAGATGGAACCCCCAAACACCTCCACCCCGTTTGTTCCCACGTGTGTCTCCCAAACCTGCTAGGGACAGGCAGGGCAGGGCAGGGACACCTTGGAAGGCCACAGTGAGGAGCTGTCTGGACCAGTGGGGCACCTTGGGGCTAGCACACGGGTGCATCACCTGGGCCCCAGGGTTCTCCACAGCCACATGGGTCCTGGGTGTATGTGAGGGAGGGTGGGGGGTCTTCTGGTGCCTGAAGTCTGAGCGGCATGGAGGGTGGTGTGAGTTCCTCTGGTGGGAGGTAGAACGCACATCTCTTCTGGGCAACCACCTGAGATGTGACTCTAAGAAGAGTTCCGGCAGCTTCCCCCAGGAAAGGGTTTGGGGTGACACTCGGCTCTGGCTCTGAGATGAGGCAGATGGCACCCAGGCTGTGATCTGTCCTGGGTGGGGACCGGGAGGGAGCAGGGTCGGGATCACCCGCCAGTGTGCAGACTATGGGGCTGTGTGCTGTCCGCGGACCATCAGGGTAGGGTGATGGGTTGAGACCAGGATGTCAGGGAAGGTCGGAATTCAGGGTGACGGTCTAGGTGTTGAGGGCTGTGGTGCAGCCTCTTCGGCTGCGGTAAGAAATGGAGTGAGCTCAAGGTAGCTTCTGGGAAGAAATTTTGCCACGAGCAGGTTTCTTACAAAGACTTTCCTCCCTTTGTTCCCAGGGCAGAGTTTCTGTGAGTCCCACTGAGAAAATCCATGGGGTGGGGTGTCCCGGTCGGTGGGTAACGGAGGGCGGCTGGCTCAGTGGTTACTGTCTTTAAGGAGCTCTTCCCTTCTGCATCTAGAGTGTCCCTTTGTTCTTGTCCCATTTCACCCCCTCTACAGACACCAGTGTCCCAGGGCCACCCAGGACAGCACGGGGGCCAGTCCCAAGCTGAGAGTCTGGCCATAGGAGTCATGTCCAGAGGCCTGGGGAGGTTTTAGGGCCCTCCCCACCTACACCCAGAGGTCAATTGGGTCTCTTTTTAGCTCAAGGAAAGACAGTAGCCAAGCAACAGAGCCCCTTCTCTGCCATGGCCCACGGGAGCAGTTACGTCGGGTCTGGCGCTCCAACGGCCCACGGGAGCAGTTACGTCGGGTCTCACACTCCAGACCTAGGGCCAGGTGATCTGGCACCGCCCAGCACTTTCGCCAGATCTGCTTCCTGGAGTGGGGGACACGCTGCACCCCACTGGCTCCGAGGCTCCTACCCTCCCAGGCTGTCCCCGTGATGATGACATGAGCCTCAGAGACCCCGATCCCATGCCTGGGGAGAGACAGCGGCTCGGGAGTGGGGGAGCATGGGCCTTCTACACCACATGGGAAGGTTCTGGTGTGAGATTTTCCTCTGGGAAGGTTGTTCGGACCCCTGAAGTTCCACCTCGGAGAGTGTGGTGCAGGGCAGGCGGGCCGGGGCCCACGCTGGCTGCAGTCTCTGTGGCTGCCTGCCTGGGACAGCCCGTTTCGTACGTGGGCTCAGGTGCAGTGTGGCCACCGCCACCCTCATCCCCTACCTGGGAGGCGCTCCCAGGGGCTGATGGGGGGTTTCTGTGAGGGAGAATCAGGGCTCAGGAAGCCACGCCTGGGAAGGCAGGACACAGGACACAGCAGTTTTCTTTGCAAATCTCCCAGGTGAGTGAGGATTTACATCCCAGAATAAAATTCAGAAGCCAGGTGGCCTGTGCTCCCCATGAGTGTCCTCTGGAGGCAGTGGGCCAAGACGCAGAGAGGAGAGAATGCAGAACAGCTTCTTGCAGAAGCACCCACTCCGGCATCCAGGGCTGCCTGGAGGCAGGAAGGAGAGGCAGGGGCAGAACACGCCGGTCTGAGATGAGTCAGAGCCCCACGGGCCCCAGGCAGGCTAGAGGAGGTGCAGGCCCTGCCACGGCCCACTCAGGTCAGCCAGCCTGAGGCTGCGGCCTCCAAAGGGTCTGGGTGCCCCCCAGGTCGCAGGTGTCTGAGGCCAGCCAACCTGCAGAGCACCTGTGGCATGGGTGGGCTGAGGGGAGGAGCCTGGGAGCTGCCTAAATTCAGAAGCCTCCACTGCCATGGAGGCTGCCTGGCTGTGTCCTCTCGGCCAGGTGCTGTCTTGGCCTTGGCTAGGACCCAGGGCCACGCCACAGCCCTCGTCGACTCCCTCCTTCCAGGCCTGCTCTAGTGAGGAGTGCCTGAGCCAGGGCCCAGAAACCCAGAGCTGATGGTGAGAGGAGGCCGCCTGAGTCAGGAAACCTGCCTTTTTGAAGTTCTCTCTGCCAGAAATCACCTAGGGATCACATTAGCTGAGTTCCTTGAGCTCCCTAAGACTCAGTTTCCACATCTGTGAGGTGGAGGGCTGGTGTGGAGGTGCTCACGGGGTGCAGTGATCAGGAGACAGTCAGGCCCAGCGTGGCTGCTGGTTCCTGCTAAGTGGGGAAGGTGAGATCTGGAAAGCCGTCTCCCTCAGACGGCTTCATTTAATGCTTTATGCTGCCGAGTCTGGGGGCTTGTTTTGGTTTGGGGGCAGCCATCCTCCACCAGAAAGGGGGAGCTCCTTCTGCTGCGGCTCCAGATAGAGGGGGATGCCGGGCTCCAGGCTGACCAGCACTCGGGCTCTGATGAGACCCGGCAAGTACCCAGGGGTGCCAAGTCCAAGGCCTCCCACTGAGAATCAGCCCTTGGAAGATGTCAATATTTCATTCACCGGCTGCACAGGCACAAATTCCCCCACCCAGGACGGCTGTGATGAGGTGGCCCTCCCTGTCAACCCTGGTCCCTGCAGTCCCCTGCGCCTGGGGCCCTGGTGGGGCCGATGTCACGGGTGTTTGCTGTGCTGCTGCACTGGTCCTATGCCAGCCTCCCCCGTGTGGGGACCATGGAAGGCACACTCCCTCACCCCTGGGGCCGGGCCGTGCAGTCCCCCAGATGGACAGCAGCTGTGGTGACCTTCGTTTCTCCCTGGGCCTGTGCTTCCTGTAGTTAGTCCGTCCCGATTCCCCTGTGGCTCAGAGGCCACGTCCCTGGCTTGTACATATGTGATTGCTGTGGGCACACCCCAGACCCCATATCATAGCTGCCGTCCCGACGTCACGATGCTCGTCCCGATGTCTTACACCCGAGTGTTAGCCTTAGGTTCCTGTACTGTGTGTGCACTTGAGGCTCTGTCCAATTAAGAAATAAACGTGGCTCTTACCGACACTCCCATGGGCTCTGCTGTGGCTTTATTTGCGTGTTAGGTGTGTTGGGGGGGCCCCGAAAAATGGTTGCAGGTGCACGCATCCAGCGTGGTCCAGAGACAGTGCCCCTCCCCCAGTGATGAGGCAGGGAGGGGCTGGCTCCCAAGGTGGGCACGGGGAGGTGGTAGGGAAGGCGTCAAAGACTTGAATGTACACAGGGTGCTGGTCTTGGAAGATCAACCTCCACCTGCCTCCCTCCATGACCGGCTGCACCCCTGTAAACCAGCCCCGGGTGCTTCCCCAGGGACACAGCACCTACCACCCTCATGCCAGGTCACTGCACCCATCCCAGGCAGCCTCTGGGGCTTGGACCCTTCAGTCTCTAGTCCATGGGGTCTGCGCCTGGGCCCAGATCCTCAGAGCCTCCTGGAGTTCTGAAGGCCGGGCCATCGCACACGAGGGCCTTGGTCTTGTCCGAGGCATGGCTGCAGTTTGGGGACCAGCGTCCCACTGATGGCTGATGGGAGGATGGGGTGACAGCCGTACACTTCGGGGGACTCTGGGCAGGGCCCCCCAGTCCTCAGGAGCCCCCAGGGGCCCTCCAGAGGTGAGTGGCTTTATGTCACAGGTGACAGCCATCTCCAGGACATCGAGTGAGGGTGGCACCTGCTCAGAAGACAACGCTCCTCAGTGGGCCTGGGAGGTGGACCCCGCTGGCTGGCATGGGGCTCCGGGGCCTTGTGTGGGGCCACCCTCTGGCTACAGGTGGGAGGGGCTGTGTCAGGGCTGACATAGATACCGTTCAGCCCGTGCAGACTCCTCCTGTCTGAGAGGTCGTAGTCTTCCAGTCCTGAGATTATAGACTTAGAACTTTCTGCCAGCTGGGTGAAGGGCACGCACGGTTCCTCTCTGTGCTGTGTGTGTGTTTTTTTAAATAACTTCTTGTGAGTCTACCATTATTTTTAAATGAAAAATAAAGAAAAAACATTATTCATTGGACTTCCTAGTTTCTCTACAATGAATTTGTGTTACTGTGTAATTCTTTTAAAAATTAAGAGTGGGAAGCGAATCAAAACGGAATTCAGTGACTGGGCAGAAGCAGCCTCCTCACCGGCTGGGGAGGATAAATGAGTTAGCGTTGGAAAAGCTTAGGACAGGGCCTGACACAGACTAAGTGCTGTAGAAGGTTTCTGTTTTTTAAAACAATGAATGAAACTAACAAAATTAAGTAACAAGTGGCTGTGCCTTCCAGTGTCAAGGAGAAATCTGTCACCACGTCTGCTTCCACCTGACCTTGCTCTTGGGGCACCAGGGATGACGTGTATCGTCCGAAGGTTCTGGAAGATCAGGGAGTAGAACCAGGAGTGTGGGCCGAGTGGCGCTGGGCTTCCGTGGTTGGTGCCTTCCACCAGCAGTGTGACCGGGCTCTGGGACCTGGGACCACTTCTGTGTCCAGGGCCTAAGCTGGTCTTCAATACCGAATGTATTGAGAGTTTTTAGCATGAAGGGCTGTTGAATTTTGTCAAAGGCCTTTTCTGCAGTCGATTGAGAAAGCATGGGATTTTGTCTGTTTTGTCTGTGTATATGCTGGATTAACATATGACTGGTGGTGGTATGTGTTTGAACCAGCCTTGCATCCCAGGGCACTGAAGTGCGCTTGATCCATGAATGATAAGCTTTTTGATGCGGCTGCTGGGATTCGGTTTACCCATATTTCTATTGGGGATTTGTTGCATCGATGTTCATCGGGATATTGGTCTAAAATCCTCTTTTTTGTTGGTGTTTTCGTT